GGCTAACAGACCGAAAAGGGATGTTCAATATGGAACACGGGGTAAAGCTAGAAGGTAAATCCGATTCGGATTTGTGGAATATACGGATCGACAGCGAAAAAAACCGAATTTTTTTGCCCCTGGTCCAACTTTTCCTCTCTCGCTTGTACCAAATATCCGCTAGCGGTTGACGTGTCCAGGCTCTGTTGCATCGTACGCGCGGTATAAAACGTCGCTAAATAAACATTCCGGGCATCGCATGCGCGCGCGTAACCAGTTTAAAATTTCACCGATACATAAGCGTTCCGTTCTCCATCCGTAAAACCGAATTGCCCGGTATCCCAAACGGGGGGCAACCGCTGCTCGAATCACTTTCTCCGCTCGATATCCTGTCATCAGAGCAAATTATTTCCCCGTTTCGAGGCTATTCTCGACATTCTCGAATCGTCGTGTTGTCGATATAACGTAAACAACTGGCCCATCGATATCGCCGAAGAAACATCAGGGACTCACTGCTATTGGGGACCATGACTGGAAGGAAATACAGGATGGTGATAATAATGTGGAACACAATCACAGGGTGGATTCTAGTACTCTTTAAACTTTATTAACACTTTGACTGCCACGTCACCCCAATATGGGTGACACGTACATTGAAAAGTGTCGGGATTATTTAAACACTGTTATAAAATGTTTGCATGAAATTAATGTCGCAGTATAATTTAAAACAAGAACTACAGTCTCTATTAACTAAACTCAAATATTTTCAACAATTTATGACTTAAAAAACGAAATAAAGTGTGTCTGGCTACGTACGGCCTTTTTCACTGTGGCAGTCAACGTGTTAAAACGTCAGCGTTACACCTAAGGACTTGTTCTTGTTAGTTTGATGTATAGAATCCACCTAGTCAAAGTGTCCCATATTTTTATCAACGACCATGTACATCAACACCGCAAAACATCTTACAAACTCCCAAACATGAAAACCAGCAATTTTAAAAGTACCATCGTGTCGTTTAAGAAACACCTGAAAATCTGGTCTTAAGGAAGTCTCTAGACAGCTTTCCATCGACAATAAACGCGACTCCGTTGAGCCTCTATTGGTCATCGAGGCGGAAGACGAGGAGATTCTGAGGGGTAGGGGGTGAGCCCTGTGCTACACGGGTCGGGAATCGAAAGTATAAAGACGGAAACCGAGGAGAGTGGAGCTCATATACAGCCCTGCGTGGTAGTTTCGGGCGAGGTGGTTGCAGAGGTTCATGGGGACTCGGATGGGCCAAGGGAAGTTGGAATAAATCCAAACAGTAAACAGAAGGAGCAGAGGCCCCGCGGATTCAAAGGGGGTGAGGAGAGTGGTTTGAAGGTTCGGTGAAAATTCTAATATATAAAAGATATGAAGGCTCGATGGAATCTGAACAGCCAACAACAAGCTCGCTGCTCCCCCGACCTTTATTTAACCTTTTCTTAAAAGAGTCTTAGGAGTCCCTCTTATCTGTAGTCGATGGCCCTTCACCGTCGGCTCTTATACTTTCATTCTTCCGTACCCCCTTATATTTTTTTCCTTTGGCCCCGTTCGTGTACACACGTCGAGCTTCATCGTCGTCTCTCCCTCTCTCTCTCTCTCTCTCTCTCTCTCTCTCTCTCTCTCTCTCTCTCTTTCTCTGCTCGACCCCCGTGGAAGTGAACCACCCTCGAGGTAACCGCGACTTTTCCACCCCTTTCGGGGGCGACACGGCGGCGGCTTTGGACGTTCAAGATTTCCATCGTTTCTTCGGTAGAGCACAGAAGGAATAAGAGATACACGGAGGGTAAGGGACGGACCGATGTCGCTGGCCGCAGACCGGTATTAATTAGCGAATTAAAGGATCGTGATCTAGACCGCGGACGCGTTTCCCGCCAAAGTGGATTAAAACTCCTGGACCGATCGTTGCTTTCCATTAATTTCGTTGAGCAAACCGGGGCCCTCCTACGAGAACCTTTCTTATTGTTTTTTTTCGAGCCTCCTCTCCTCCCGAGCCATCGAGGAGCTTGGTCTAACCCTGAATCGACACGGTATTATTTTTACAGAGTGACTATCCGCCTTACATGCATCGTGAATTACGAGAATTAGCTCGAACGCATAACGCTGAGTTCGATCCATTTTTGAAGCGTTCGTATTTAGGATGAACTGAGAAAAGTGGTTTTTATTCCATGGATAATTATACGGGTTAATTGAAGAGAACGTTTATATTCTCTTGAAATTTCGAGTGACACCTCAGTCCATTAGATCAGTGTTTTCTAACCGTTTTTAGATCATGTCCCACTTCCATGCCTCAAAAGTTCACTTGCCCAAAAATAAAATCACGGATACATTTTCTAACGGAAGAACCGTCGAATCGTTGCCCGTTACTTCTCTCTGTTTTTTCACCGAGCGTTTTTCCCTTTTGTCCACCGCTACGAACTACGGAGACGAAACGCCACACCGTTCTCCTCCTGACTAAACACTGATAACGGCCCCGTCTACGGGGCCACTACTTTCTTTGCATGTTATAAACATACGTAATCGTACACAAATAAGATTAGCATAAGGCTCGTCGCGGTACGGACCGAATCGCTGGAAGAGACACACGGTTTTCCACGCTTCGACGGGAACAATCGCTCGCAGTGGTTTCCGCAAGAGACTGGGAACTGCGTTTTAAATTTATGTTCGAAGAGACCTTCGGTTTCGGCAATGGGACGAAGCATGGCGACGCTCGTGTGTGATCCAGGACATAGAAGTTCCAGGGATAGTGTGGCAGATTAACCGAAAGCCGCCATTTGTGAAATCAAATTTGATATAGCGTCGTGAATATATAAAGCTAATATTTAATTTCATTAATGAAAACTTAGATAAATTTTTATAGTTTACACATTATTTGTATAAATAATGTATGACTTGTAGTTCAAATACTTCATTAATCGTAATAGTTAGAATGATATAATTCATTATTATCATATACCGCGACAGGAAGTTCTCCTATAAATGGCAGAACCAATCAGCAAGAAAGTAACACATCTGCCATACTGTCCCTGGACTATAGAGTCCAGGACAGCGACCGACCTTCGGTCAAGCACAAAGCGGTTTTTGAGGATTCACCTCGCGTGTACTGTTTCGGATTCCCTGGAATCGTCTCCTTGTCACCGGCCGCGGAAACGCTGTCACGGAACAACGAGCATTCTAAACAGCCTCGGGACCGCCCGGTTTCGAGGAATCGAAAACAGGTCCCCGTGGCGATTTACAAACAACCGACACCATCGTCGTTCGTGCAAACACGATCCATGGTCGAGGAAGAATCTGTCGTTCTTCGAGAGCGGTCTAAGTGACGCCAAAACTTTGACGACATTTCGAAATTGGTCATTTTCTTACTGTACAATGGCAACTCGCGACGTTTCGTCCGTGCAAACTGCTAGAATTTTTCTGACCGAATTATACGGAGACGGTATAACTTGGACTTAAATTGAAGCAGCACCCCGTTTTCCACTCCCGTAAAAGAGCCACTCGACCGAGTTTTAACACTTGCCAAGAGATGAAGATTGATTCCTGGAATCGGAGAACTCACGACCTATGGTTGTTATACGTGGTATTTAATGACTGATTTCTTTCTAACAAGTCTATAGATTGTAATTTTTTAGGAATACTTTTGACACTTTTTTTAATTTGATTCGCCATTTCGAATTTCGAAAGTCAAACTTTAAATTCGTAATCGACGTCCAAAAGGATTCACAGATACTGGTCATCTTAAAAATCCTGTATGTTTCGTTAAGTATAAATCAAACGAGCAACGAAATTGACAATTTACGCTGGGTAGGTCGATAGAGAATTTCATTGCGAGGAATTTAAAAACAAAAGCTTCAAATTTACTAAAAAATTACGACGTGCGGACTGATTTGAAGAAAAGTAAGTCATTATGTATCACTGTGGCGGTGACCAGAATGTGTCACATCCTGGTAGAGCACTTATAACAGGAACATACGTTATCTAAACAACGTAAAGTGATAATGGAGATAGACATCGAAAAACAACGTGGCGTAAAGTAAACTCGAAGGTAAAAATCGTGAACGGGGCTTCGTCGTAGTTTCCATCGTGGAAAACTTCTTCGATCTCCCAGACGATGGAAGAGAACGGAAGAACGGGTTACACTCGGTTCCGGCTTTACACTCGGCAATCTACTTGATGATAGAACTTAATAAAACAAATCCCGCTGCGTAAACAACGAAGCTGGAGACTCGAGTCGACGTCATTCAGACAACACCCGAGTTTTCCTTTCGACTTCCCCTCCCCTCCCTGGCCTGCCAGCCAGCCAACGATGACGGAGGATATACCAGGAGTCGTCTCTGGCTCCGAATACCATTAGATAAGATCAATATTGCTCAAAATACGCTGGAAGTTTAACGCGAGCACATTACACGGCATTTATATCATGAATATTCCGCCCGGAGGCTTCTTCCTCCCTCTTTTCGGTCTCTCGCTCGGGCTTCTTCCCTTGTAGCCTACGCTCTCGCGGCGGTCCCCCTTGTTATCTCGCGTTTTGACTTTGTACAAGCGCCCGTGGTCGCCAAAACAGAAACTCCTTTATCTCCCGCTAAGTGGAGCCCCGGAGTTTCAGTTTTAATCGATTTTCGCGCGTACCGTTACGACCCCCTCGCCGTTCGGCGAGTTCTTTTTTAACGAAGGTGCTCCAGGGGGTGAAGATCACTTTATGAGATAAACTGAGCAGTAAATTTGTCTGTAAACGAAATAACGTGTATATGGACAATCAATTCTTCGACATGTATGTGGACTATCAACAATTCGAGCTTATGATCGAAATTAAAGTTTCAACCTCCATTTACGGTACAGTTCCGTTCGTGCAAACAAAATCCATCCCGAATTAACTGTATAAACTGCTCTGTCTTAGTCTCGGAGTTCCATTATATCGTTTAGTATACCTAGTGTCCCCCAATGATGAGGCAGCTCGCAACCGACTTTGACCGAGCTCTCGATCTCCATTTTCGTATTGCAGGCAACTTCGCTGTTTGCAGCCCTGAAGCAGCAGCAACAGCAACCTCGCGACACTGTACCGGCGCCTTCGTCGACAAGGGACCGTGAGAATCGAGAACGTGAACGTCTCTCGGTCCGCAACCGCGAGAACAACCGGGGCAACAACGAGATCGGTGGCAGCGTGACAGAGCAACAGCAGCAGGAGCTAACGATCGAGTACCAAAGCAATGGGAAGCTCAGTCCCGCTGGGCACGCAGTGACAACAGCACCCATGACCCAGCAAAAGCAGCCAATCATCACGCAGCAACCGCAACAGCCGAGTTCTGGGGCGCCTGGTCCCCAACCGAGTCCACATCAGAGTCCGCAGGCCCCGCAGAGGGGTTCACCGCCGAATCCGTCGCAAGGTCCTCCACCTGGAGGACCGCCAGGGGCGCCACCCTCTCAGAATCCCGCGCAGATGATGCTCAGCCCGGCGAGCGGCATCCATCAGATGCAGCAGCTCCTTCAGCAACATATTCTCAGCCCCACGCAACTGCAGTCATTCATGCAGCAGCACACCCTCTATCTGCAGCAGCAACAGCAGCAGCATCATCAGGTAAGTCTTTGATACACTCGTCACTAATACTCTACCAGAAGTCTAACTACACAGGTTGTTCCAGAATGTTTGTCGTACAGCAGTAAAATATCGTTTATACCATTGAATAGTCTAACCCTTTTGAGGTCTGTACTCGAAACCTTGTAGCTAACGCGTGAGTTTACTATAAGAAATTGTAGTTGAAACGTTGTGCCAAGACGACTGTCGCAAGACGTGACTTTATTGCCCTTTCTACCAGGGTCGTAGGATAAATATTATCGAACAACCTTATATGCGATAGACAGTTTTAAATAGAAATACGGAATCCAAATTACCGAACGATACGAATTTGAATAACATGATAAATTGAGTCGATAAGAGTAACAGGATTTGTAGGTTGGTGGAAGAGGAATTCGAAGTTGCTGAGTTAAATGTTCTGTTTTTATTAATGTATTTACAGAAGAGTTCTCTGGAAAGTATCTCGACTAACTACGAGTTCCTGCCATTGTTGCAGGACTCCTCCTCGGAGCACGCGTCGAACCAGGACCGATTCGGCTACTTTTCGTCCCTAAAAGACGTAAGTATATTCCCATTCTTCCATGGGCTCATTGTGAACGTTACGACGCCACGAAGAATCTCGGGTTTCGTTCTTTCATTGTGCCCCGGTTCTTCTTCAACGTACATTAGCAAAGTTTGTCTTTTTTATCGAGTAAGCATAGTTAAACATCTTTCAGATACTTGGTCGGGTAAACAGAGACCGCCTTTCATCACTCTCTCTCTCTCTCTCTCTCTCTCTTGACCATTGATAATTTTAATTATAAAAAGCGTCTGTTTGGCGGGGTACATTCTTCCATCCGTCTCCCATCTTTTGCCGGAAGTGGGTAAACAGTGGAGCATCTTTTCCGAGAGATACTTTGGGTAGCCTCTGTAACACTCTTCGTTTATCCTGTCAGCGGGAATACTAAAAAGCTCAAATATTTTGCCATTTCCAGAGAGTAACAGTAGCAAATTGTACATTTCTCTATTTTTAACATTTTGCTTGTCGAACGAATCCTTGAGTAATAGACTGCGAATTTTATGCATTTATGGCCGACAGGGCTCTGTAAAATACAGGTAAAGATAAAAATTTCATGAAATAGAATGAATTTTTTTATATGGTTTTGAACCTAATAAAATGCTTAAGAGAAATTCCTATATTTGCTCTTGTCTTTATGAATTACATTAGAAAATGTCATTTTGCATAAAAATCCGCATGCTAGTAATTAAGAACCACAAGAATATTTCTATTGTTAAATTTTTACTATTTGAGTATCTGTATATTCGGGTCAGCGAACTGGGAATTTCAACGCTGGACAAAGAGAGTCATTATCATTATCGTCACAATTTTACCGTCTCCTCGGCAGAATTCTCGAGCATTTATCACGGCACAAAGATCCTGTTCGTCAGAAGGTTCGAGAGCTCTTCGCGTCAAAGTATTCTTACCAGGAATATGTTGCTCGTAAACAGGCACAAAGAACATCTTAACGCAAATACGTATCGCCGGCTGGCACACAAGCTCGATACCATCGATAGAGACGTCAAATATTTATTTAGCGGCATGGCCTGACCGGGTCTCCTTTACTCTGCAAACTTAAACAATCCACTACAGGAAATTATCGTCGAGTCACGCAAAAAGACTATCTGAATTACCAAGAATCTAACGTTTTCTTTTTATTTTTTTCTTCCTTCTGTTGACACAACAGCGAAGGATTGTCGTCGACAACCTCCCGGCGAGAATCAACTTTTTCGGTCTAGAAGACAATGTTCCTACACTTTCTCATTACCGTCGCGTTCCGGCTCATTAATCCTGCAGTTTTTCCGCATAGTGCAACAACGATAAAGGAGGGGTCTGTCTCGAGGTTTGTTTTAAAATATCCTCGAGGCTGACGGGAAGAATTCATTGCTTGTGGGGTTGCTCGCGGACGGAGTAAGCAATTAAGCATCGCCATCAGCCCGTTGTGTCTCGTTGTTTGTCTTCGGGGGTGCCCATCAACTGCCCTCCGTCTTCTTCTTTCCACCCCAGAATTATCTGTGCTCGTGATTTATTCACCAAGATGCAACTCTCCCCAATTCTTTCGTTCTCGTCCTCCTCATTTGTCTGACAAAGAGATGTTTGCCTTCTGTCCCGGAAAGCTGTTAGAAATTCAGCCAGAGAGACAATTCGGCCTCGTCCGTATTTTGACGCAGTAACGTGATTTCTCCCGATGTAATTGATTTCCTAGCATCAACACCAGTTTGCGGAGCTCGGCAGGAAGAAGCTCGAGCAGGCGATACAGCAACTGCAGGAACAGTTGCAGCTGAACGTAATTCAGCAAACGCATCTGTTGCAAACCGCGGACAAGAAAAAGGCGTCGGCACCCTTACAACAGCTGGCGCTTCAACAGCAACGCTTGATACAGCAATTGCAGATCACGCAGAGCCAGTACCTTCTTCAACAGGGACTGGGTCTTCAGGGACACAATCCTTCCTCGGGTACAGTATAGCAAAAGAATGCCGAATTTGGACCATTACCTAGGTCAGACCACTACTGTAACTTGTTGTGATACGGCGCAAATTGCTTACAAAAAATACAGTAGTGGTCCAATCTAGACAATGATTAAAATTCGACAACCTTTCCTTTTTCATTTCCAACTAGCAACAACTTACAATCGTAGCGATTTTTAAAACCGTTCCAACCCCTTGATTTAACCAACATCCCCATTTTCCGTGCTTTCCAGTCCGACCTTTTGCAACCAGAACGATCTCCACCCCTCTACTTTCTCATTTTCCACTTCAGCTCAAGCGAAAGTTTCCACACAGAAGTGTTTCGGTTTGCGTCGGATCTCGTTCCGGCGATGTTTTTCTTTCTGACGCGCGCGTGCACGGCGGAGCAGAGAAAGGGCGGAATAATAGAGCCGGGGGGGGCTGGAAAAGCGACGAGGACTCGCCGCCTCGAGTACCTCCAAATTCACAAAACTCACGCGTCGAAACAAGCCTTGCCCATCCGTTTCCGTGCTCCTCTACCCTTTAACGCGTTGCTCTTGATTCCTCTCTTGTTGCCCCCGTTTACCTTTTTCTTTCCCCTCATCAACCTGCACTTTCGCGAGGTGATAAAACCTTAAAGTGGTTGGAGGAACAATTTAGGAATGTTTGACGGTATATTTTTTTATAGAATAATGGTAACAGAAAGAAAACACAACTCTTTACGGTTTTACTTTTATATTTCCGATTTATTCAAAAGTACAGGATACATTTTACCAAAAAAGGGATAAATACATAATTCACTGATGTATTTCATTAGCCTTTTAATTAACAGTAAATTATTTGACAATTTCGTAATTTATCGAATATTCTAAGTAGGTCTACAGCCAGGCGAGGGTCTGCCAATATGGAAGACGGAACCACCGGAAGTCCCGGAATCCCATCAGAATTCCAACGTTCCGAAATCAGGCAGCGGACTGAACGGTAAAAACAAAAACAATTCTTCCTCGGTCTTTCCTTCTCTGTACTCTCGTTTATTTTTATTTCCTCCTGTTTCTTTCGTTTTCTCTTTCTTCTTTTTATCTTGCGAATACGTGGTTCGTTTCCGAACTATCGCAGGTCTTCTGAATTCGACAGTGTCGAGTCGACGGTCGGAGATGAACGGCACCACGCAGCTGGACGAGAAACCGTTGGACGTGTCTTCGAACGACAAGACTCATCCCCTATACGGTCATGGGGTCTGCAAGTGGCCGGGCTGTGAAGTAATCTGTGAAGACTATCAAGCATTCCTTAAGTGAGTTCACTTCGTTTGACCTGTCTATTAATCGAAACGACGGTACCCAGTGCCATTTGCAAAACGTCACTGTTAACCAATTCTGAACGTATCGGTGAGTAAAGTAAGGTACGGTTCTCTTTCAATTCGACTGTACAGGGTAAGTCACCTAAAATTTGCATCTGTGTTATTTTTAATGGTACGAGAAATCCAATCTTGTTCAGTGGAATGAGTTAGAAGACAGTGGGTAGAGGGGACGACAAACGGGAAGAGTAGAAAAATCGCTGGAGTCAGCGTATCTCATTGACATCCGGCACCTTCTCCATCAAGTTCGAAACCAGGCAGGCCTGGCTTCGTCCCCTTTTGGTCGGCGCAATCCCTAGTAATCACGCAGCTCGTCGCCGCAAACTCCCTCAAACAAGCCGTTACTTAAAAAAGGAAAGGACAAAAAAAAAAAAGGAAAACGCTAATTACCTTTGTCTCATTAATATTCACGACATTCGACCGCATCGTTATGCCTCTCGGCCCTAATCCCCTTCCCCTGAACCTACCCCCATCCCCATTCTAGCACCCCGTTTCGGGTAGACCTTCCCGCATTCTTGGTCTTAACAGGGCCTCCTCCCACGGTTCTTTCGCACTCTTTCACCCTCCGCGATACAGGGTGGAACCAGGTCCGGTTTCCGCGGCGACGAAGAAGGATTACGGAAATTCTTAAATACGGGAATCTTGTTGTCATCCCCTACCACTCAACGATTCTTTCTGGTGTCCCCGACAAGGGGCGAGTGACTCGTCCCTCCCTTGGGAGAGAACACAGACCTTGTTCCGTTAATATCGCGTAGCTTTGATTCCCGCGATAAACGTTCTGGAATTGTTTGAGACATAATTTCATCAGCCGCGAAAATCGCAGGGAAGATATTTCCTTTATGGACGGGGTTGCTTCTGGTGGTACTTAACTCGTGAGGATAAAGTTTCGAGAGTGATTCATTTAGAGACACAAACCAATAGACACTAACAGCGTACGGTTTCAGGCACTTAAACACGGAACACACACTGGACGACAGATCGACGGCGCAGGCTAGGGTTCAGATGCAGGTTGTCTCCCAGTTGGAGATTCAGTTGCAGAAGGAACGGGATCGGCTGACCGCCATGATGCATCATCTGCACGTGGCGAAGCAAATGGCCTCTCCCGAACCACCAAAGTCATCCGAGTCGTCGGTGAGTCTTCTTCCTTTTTTTCCTTTCATACGACGAAAATTTCTCGAGTATTACAACAGCCGTCGGGAAGCTGTTCAGTTGAAAGTTATGTCTCGAGATGCAATATGTTACGACACTCTGGAATACGGGGTGTCGTATAATCGCGAGGGACGACAGTTCGACGATGGTCGAATGAATGCACGCGTGCCTCGTTCGCCAGAATCTGGAAAAACGATCCTAACGATCCTGTCGCGCGCGGTGTAAACTCTTCTGGTACGAGCACGCGGACGAGTCGTAAAGTCGGATTTCCACGGGGGGGGGGAGGGCGCCGCCACAACCGTGGGGTAAAATTTTACGAGTCTCCACCGTCCACCCACCCCCGCGATGGTGGCTAACAACAACGCCAGTTTCAGTTTTAACGCGCCGCCGAGTCGACTCGCTAATTTATACATAAAGTTTCCATTAATAATTCATCGGGTCCTCGTTGATTTTATATCGCCTTAATTAAAACCTCTAACAAGTCCAGCAGTCGGAGAATACCAATATCGCATTAGCCCTCCGTGGCCGAGGCTCTCTGGTGCTCCTACTCCTCCCTTTCGACGACTTAATTATTTTAACGCGGTAGGGAGGAGGAGCTTTGGTCGCGCGCGAAGGTCGGATCATCTCTGGATATTGAGACAGTTTCCCGGTGAAATATTCGATGGGGATCGTATGAATATTTAACCGTAAGGTATTATGCTCATTAATAAAAACGTAATCGCAGTCTACTGGGTTCGAATGTGGTCACCGGTGTCGGCGAAGAATTCTGGCGAAAAATTACACACACATCGGTGCAAAGTTATTAACAATTACTGAACCTACCCCTATAAGCAACCAGCCCCAGTCCCCTTAGCTTGTAACGTTTAACCCTTTCGCTACGGTGGGCCTCGCCGCGGAGTACCTCGTCTAGAACGGAGCGCCGTGCCGAAAGTGAGAACATTTTGATACATTCGACTTACGACCAACTGAGTATAATTATACATTTGAGGCCCACGGGTCAATGACAAAACAATGTCGAAAAAAATCGAACGTTGCAATAGCGCTTGCAATTGTTTGCGAACAGAAATACACGAAGCGATACCATTTATCTTAACATTTGGTTCCATTTTTGGAGCGGGTGACTATAGTCACCCGTTGTGTATAGGTGGCATCTTGTGACCGGTGACTATAGTCACCCGTCGTGTGCGGGTGTCGTTTTGTGGCGGGTGACTATAGTCACCCGTAGTAGTGAAAGGGTTAAAGACATTTTTGTTGTCATTTCAATTCTTTCCGTAACTGATGTTATTGTCAAGAAAGAATCTGATTTTCCAGACCGGCTCGAGTATACCAAAGTTAAATCTCACCACCGCTTTGATGAGCCAGCCACCTCCGAACTTCGGCGTGTCCCAAGTGTCCCCGGTCTCGATGTCCGCGTTGGTCTCCGCGGTTAGGTCGCCAGCGGGTGGACAGATGCCACCATCGGCCGGTGGCGCTCCAATGCCACCGATTCCGAACATGTCGAACATGTCCGGTATGCCACCGTTGCCGAACATGCCTGGCAGCATGCCCACGATGCCGACAATGCCCAGCTTAGCGGGGCCCATCAGACGGCGTATCAGTGACAAATCCGCGCTCTCGTTGGCAGGAGGTAAGACTTTTCCATTATCTTCCGTACGTATGTATGTTTAACCGACTGGAATTTCATCGCGGGTCGATCGGGAATTGAAATAGTTTGTCGACTAAAGGAATCCATCTTTGGCATTGTTAACGTTTCGCGAGAGAAGGTTCTTCCGTATTACCTGGCACTCGGGAAAATGGTTCGACGTAATAACGATTTAATAAAGAGACATAGTTGGAGGATTTTAAGGCACGTGGAATTTTATAAAAATATATTTCTAATTTCGTAAACCTATGGTGTTTCTTGTATTAGTTCTTGCCTCGCGACACCATTTTACCCATGTTTAAATTCTACGGAAATGGATTGAATGTCGTCTCGAGAATGGTGAAACGAAAAGACATGTTGTAAATTCAGAAATTGAATACTATTCGTAGGACTGTATGACGAGGGCACTGTAAGGCGCAGAGTAGCCGTCGATAGATCTGGAATAGATATTAACGAAGGTAAACGATTCAACCAAAATTCAGTCGGGGTGACGCACGAACCGCGAAATGCATCGCGAACAACAATCGAATTTTATGTTGGTTTTAACGCTGATGTGACTTCACCGGAAGAAGGTGAATTTGAACGACAAAAAGTGAATTCGGCATGAAATTGCATTTCCCGGCTCGTTCGCGTCAAATAAATCCCGACAACAACAGAAAATCCTGTAGCAAATGCTCTTTACGGTCCTCTCTTGATCTCGTGCCTTTTCCTATTCGTGAACTCTACCGCACGCACAGAATTACTCGCGGTACCGACGATAATCATGTGAGCTACCAATGTTCGACACCTTGTTGGCGACTTGCAGGACGATCGTACAGGTAGAGATTGTAAAAGGTGCAAGAAACGAAACAAAACAAAAACCTCACGTGAAAGTGAACGAAACATATGCAGAACTGTTATGAACATAGAGAGAAAATAATTGAAACGAAAAATTATGAATTCTAAACTAAAATGTCAGCTCGAACCTTCTTTCTAAACGATGCTTCTGTTGTTTCCTTATTTCTTGTGCTGCCCGCCCTCCCCACCGTGTAGGGCTGCCCTACATGCTGGAGCGTGCTGGCCTTGACGTCCAACAAGGTACTGTCAACCTTCTTTCCACGCTCCTTTTGGTGGCTTTAAGGATTTTCTTGAAGGGTGCACCCTTGCATGCCGAAGAATAAACCATTCTACTCCTATACCTCCCTGTAGATCTAACTCGACCATTTCGGATACTTTTCTGATCACTCTAACGAAGTGTCCGAATTTTCTTTTTCCCCGACACCATCGATCGCTTTCTGCTTTACCCTTTGATCTAGTCTTAAGAATACATCTGTACAGTCTCGAATTTATAAATTCTGTTTCTTAAGCATGCGAACAAACTTCTTCTTAGAATAGAAGCTTTTTCATAAAACGAAAGACTTGCAAAGAACCAACCGCGTAGATGTCAAAAAGCATCATTATCAGACAACCTGTGTTCTTTTTTTTTTTTTTTGTTCGACTCTTCAAAACGGAACCGACGGTGTCACTCCTCTAGAATTGTGTGCTTGTTTGTCGTGAAAACCCACCAATCGGACACGTCCCCCGCGAAACAGATAGCGACGATAAACTTACCCACCTATAAAGTAAGAGTATCGCAGCTCTTCCTCTTCTCCCTGGTCCACAGCTTAAAGAAATAAACGTGGATCGTTGGTATTTCAGAGATTCAACGAAACAGGGAGTTCTACAAGAACGCAGACGTCAGACCGCCATTCACGTATGCATCATTGATTCGACAGGTGAGTGAACCACTCGATACGCAGACGTGTTACCCCACTGGTTGTCCAGAATAATTCAGACGAGATATCGGGCTCGTCCGATAAGGGGCATCCGTTTTAATCGAAATTAATTCTCGGGCGCAGCTATGGCGAGGTTAACGTTTCCTCGATCGATCGTCGAATATAATGTACAAAAAGTAATGGACCACGGCGGATCCATATGCATCTTTTTGTTTTCTATTTTTCGCAGTCGATCATCGAGTCCCCGGAGAAGCAGCTTACGCTGAACGAGATCTACAATTGGTTCCAGAACACCTTCTGCTACTTCCGACGCAACGCGGCCACGTGGAAGGTATATCTCTTGAGTTCCGTAAAGATAAGCATTTCTGGCACATCGAGGAATCTTTCCAACAGTGAAAATATACATTCGCTAATTGTTCGTTAGAATCTTGCAAATTCGAAAGAATTCACGGTTGAAACTCTAGACTCTTTCTAGAGATTCCTTTAACGCGAGTCGGACTTGGAAATTCTGGAAATAATTTGTTCGTCGCCTGAGAATGTTATATACAGGGTGTCGTGTAACTGGTGGTACTATAATCATGGGTGGGTGATTTTACGTGAAAAAATAAATCTAAAGCGTAGAATAAAATTTTTTCATTTCAGACTTCGTTTTCGAGAAAAAGAAAATTTTATTCTTCATTTTCGATTTATTTTTTCCCGTAGAATCGGACCACCAGTGACATCATTTGTATATATCCGTAGTAAACTGGACCGGGATTAATTTATTCGAGTTACGAAAACTCCGTGATTACGAACCTCGCAAAGTATTCTTCAGCCGCGACGCGTCGCGCCAAAAACAACATCGGTCGCGAAAACACGCGTCCAGGATGCCTGGAAATAAATTCCCCTTTAAATGGGATGAACTCAGCGGTGGCTCGGAGTTATGCAACGTTTGATTGCGAGCCACAAAGACGAAACGACTGGTCGTGCAATTTGCATTTACGAGCAGATTAAGCTGAATGCGTTTAACTAGAAAGGATGAGCTTTCAAGAATCTCAGATAATCTTACGTATTAATTTGAATTAACAGGCTAAGTGACGCGCCGAGCAGACGACCTGGTAACGATCATTGTGTTGCTTTCCCGGTTGAAACGGGGGAGACTGTCACGGTTATGTGTGGAATATTACGCCGCATTACGATTCGCTCGTGGACCGTGGCATCGTGTTGATTCCCCATATTTCTCGTTGCGTGTCGAGCAAAACTGTGTCATTATGCAATTTTTTTCCCCTTGTAGAGGAAGGTCACGACCTGGAGGAACATCTTTGGATAATGCAGGGCTTAAAATGTAGGATACTATTAGAATATTGTCTGCTGATTGCCTGCCATTCTCAGTAGAACAAGCTTGAATGATTTATGTTTGCTTAACTTCTATAGAATTCAAGTAGTTTCTGATCTGTAGGCACCTGTAGTCAAAATACAATCAATTGATCCGTTGAGGACATCTTCTACCGTCATAACTATAAATATGGTAGCTACTTTTACTATCGCGATTCTTCGACTGATATTACAGTAGGCTTCAAAGGAACAATTTATTCTGTTTCGACAAACAAGTATCTTAATTGCGAACCTGCTTCTTATAAACTGTCGGCTCGACAGTAAAGTTCCATTTAAAGAATTAATTTCCAAATCATTTTTATCGAAATGGCTGACTACTAGTTGCGAATTCCTTAGAACTTGCTTATACTCATTTTAGTACCAGTCGCGTCCAAAATGGCCTCGATCAAGTGACTCTTCCATCAGCGTGTCCAGAAGCATAGATTGTTCGATGTATTGTTGAATGAAGCTTAAAGACAGCTCGAAAAAGTAAATTTTATCAACGATCATCATCGATCCACCGCGATCGAGTCGTAATGCGAACGTCATCCCACGGACCGTTTTTTCTTGGCAAGAGTGGACGCGCGCGCGTGTGTTCTCTGCGTGTGTGCGTGTGTGCGTGGAAGTAATCGACGTTTGCCATGACGCTTCGCCTCGCATGGTTATGTGTATCTGAACAATTTTTTCGAAAGCAAAACGACACACAGGTTTCCAAGCTGCCAGAAGGAAGCCAGGTCCCAACAACACGTCTCCGATCCGGATGCGGGGAAACGGCACCGTCAACGAACTTCACTAAAAATTCTCCTGATTTCACATTTTTTTTTTTTTCTTTTTTGTTCTTCTCCTTCTTTTGGAACTTTGTACGGCCCTGCGGCATGTATGATTGTTGTCGTTGCCCCTAGACTTAGATGAACTAGCTGTGCATTAACGATTAAGGAATGCCACCATATACCGTGTATCTTTCGATTAATCGTTTTGGTTCGTTATGTCCTTTTACGGCCTTGCCATTGCGCGACCATCGCCGGGTTATCCTTTTTGCTGCTCTCACACGACGTGTATACTAATTTTGTTATTCTTCATCAGTTGTCGGTTCTTTCAGCTTTCTTACTCCTTTCGGCCGACTCGTTGAGTTGTACTTTTGAGACTGTCCAGATGGGCTATTACCATCGGGGACCCGTCTTCGATAGAAAGAACAATCTCCGGTAGCAATTCTACAATATAATCCACTCCGTATTCTTAAAAGTCTTGAATTTCATATCGCGATCACACTTAGATTCAGGGTTCACGAAGGTAGCAGCCCAAAACGGGACATATCCCTTCACAAAACACACGATACAGCTTGTTAAAAAGAAAAAGGGAAAGAAAAGAAAAGGATCCGGTTATGTTACACCCGCCCCCAAACCGGTGAACCTCTCATCCCCCAAGTCTCTTTGACATCTCACCCTCGCCCTCGAAGAGAAAACGGATCATCGACACCCCCGTCTCGTCGGCGTATACGGTCCCCGTCGTCGTCATCATCATCGTCACGATATTCACAGTCCCGGTGTTCGAGGATGTGAAAACACCGCCTGAAAAAAAATGACACGCCGTCAGATCGTGCCCGCGGCCCGATCGAAGAGCCGGCCTCGCGATTGAGTTGGCTTCCGTTCGTTTTTTGCGTTGCTTATTTAGTCTGTGTATTATTTTGTATAGAACGCAGTGCGACACAACCTGTCTCTCCACAAATGTTTCATGCGAGTCGAAAACGTGAAAGGCGCCGTATGGACGGTGGACGAAGTGGAGTTTTACAAGAGACGTCCTCAACGCGCTTGCAGCACGACCGGGTACGTTGCCCTCCCCCACCGTCCCACCTAAAAAAAAAAAAAAAAAAAAAAACAGATTTACAGTTCGCGATTTTTTACTCTGTCTCTCTCTATTTTTCAACTCTATCTATATATCATAGATATTTACGATATTTATATCTACCTCTATCTCTATCTCTCTCTATATATATATATCTTTGATACCCACGTAATATATATATATATATATATATATTCTTTCTCCTGTGGCCCACCCCAAAAATTGGATACACCCTCACGAAATTATCGGCCTCGGTCGCATTCCCCTCCCCCCAATTCCACACGTCTCCCTTTACCTCCTGATCCAACGAGATATCCACGTTTTTTAATATTTCTATATATTTCTTCTCTTTCTATCTATGTCTTTTTACATATTTATAGATATTTATATATATTATACATTACTCACCCTAATCGCTTTTACTCTTGTTACATACTCGTACCGCTAACCAACCCCTCGTCCCAAATCATATTTATACTGCCAGTTTTTTACAATCTTTTTATATGTATATACCAACATACTTATATCTTTACATATTTTTACAATTTTTTACATATATTTATATATCTCGATATTTGTATATACATATATATAGTATAGATAATAGTGTTTAATATTTCTACTCTTTTTATACGTATATATATATATTTATATATGTATCTAGCTTTTTCTATATACTCACGTATTTTACATTAGCTATTTTACATGTATATATGTCTCTATTCATAAGGTTCAAGCGTGTGTGCGCGCGATATGTCACGCGTGCGTGTACAAGCCTCCCTTAAATACGCATACGCACATACACGCACGCTTTCTGCATTCCATTTTATCTATACGTTATGCATCTACCTCGAATAGACCCCCGCCTCTTCGCTTAGTCACACCGTTTTTCTTTTTCATTTAATATAGTATATACATATCTCTGTGTATGTTTCTAGATCCTTTCGTGTATCTAATGCGTGCGCAATTCACACCCTATATAGATTTCTGTGTGCCGCGTGCAAACCATTTCTTTTCTCACACCCCCACTCCCCTTCGCAACCATAATATCTCTGTTCATCGATCGCTCGCTGTCGTTTGTAATCCACCGTTTGCGCTAACATTCAGCTCCCCGAGTTACAATTGAAGGAAATTCATCGAAATCGCTAATTAACGCAAAGAAAAGAAATTCCTCTCGTTATTAATTTTTCTCGAGAAAGAAATCTCCTTTTTCGTCAAAATATCTCGACGTTTTCCAAATTAAATTTTCATCTGCTGTAGGACGATATCCAGTAAATCATCGATGAATATTTGAATATCGATACTTTTTAATTCAAACATCAACATTTTGTATAAATATTTAATGTCACGATATATTCCAGTATCGATATATAAACCATAACTGGTTCCCCCATGGAACCAATCAAGCGCCTAGTGGTGGCATCTGAACATTCATTGTCAGTGCCGAGGAGCCTTCGAATACTCATCGATAATTAACTGTACAACTAGAATACTTTTCCACCTAATCTAGAAATGTTCGATCGTTACACTTAATGCACTTAACCGGTTCTTTTCATCGTCGAGGCACGTTCGATCGCGAAATTGTACTCGGGTAGCCCGCTTCGCACAATTTTACGTTTGGTCCCGCGTGTGCGTGTGTAAAACATCTTATATACTCGCCCTAGTTCCCGTGTGCAACGGTAGCCGTCAGTCTGTGGTTGCGTGTCTGTTTGCGTGTGTGCGTGTCAGAGATCATGGAAGTTCGAGGCAATGGAGAAGAAGGAGGAGAAGGCGGCTGGAATGATTGCGAGATATCGGGAGTGTCCGTTGTGTCGCTCCGTGTGTGGAAGGGACACGTAGCAAAGGTTATCGTGGTGTGTGCTTTTTCTTTAACAAGCATGTCCGGCTTTGCAGCGACTAACCGATCGAGAATCGGGCAGGGCCGAAATATATCTAACGGCCCGAGTCTAGTCTCGAATGCCCGGGAGCCGGATGCGGGATTACGCCAGTGCAGAGTGAGAACCGGCAGAATTGCACTTTGGTCAGGTAGTTGAGTGGAGGAGCAGCCGCCTTACTACAATAATTTACTTTTACGTTCTTTCATTTATTCTTTTGTTTCTCTCTCTTTTTTCTCTATCTATCTATCTCTTTATCTCTATCTCTCTCTCTGTACCCCTAAATTTTTGCGAGTCTGTGCTGTCTTTGTCAGGATAAATACATAACTCTAGAACCGTGGAATTCGACATTGATACTAGAGGGTTTATCGCTAGGCGTCGAATTCCTCTGAAATAAGGGGGATGGTAGTCGAGAGGACACCTTTAAACTTCGGGGGGGGACGTCGACGGGTAGCTTGGTCTCGCGACGATTTGACATTACAGTTGCATGAGAGACGAGAGATATCGAGTGTGTGTATATATATATATATACTGTCGGCCACAGTGTCGGCCGACGGGGTGGTTGGTGTGCGTCTCTCTGTCAGACGCTCCGAGAAAACTAGCGTGCGTATACGCGACGCTCTGACGAAGGAATTATGCGGGCGATCTCGGAGAGCCGAGACACAAGAAGCGTTTCGAGAAATTACGAGAAGGCGCAGCACGTGTTGTTGCGTGCGGTTCGCGATGGAGAACTGACGTGAAAAACAAAAAAAGAACGTTCAACAACAACAACAAGCAGAAAACAAACAAAAAATACCTTTTTATCTTTTTTACTCTCTTTTTCTCTATTTCTTGGTGGTCTTGTCTGTGTATACAGAACGCGATCCGCACCAATCTATCATTGCACAAGTGTTTTGTGCGCTATGAGGACGACTTCGGGTCATTCTGGATGGTGGACGACGCCGAGTTCGTAAAGCGGCGGCATCTGTCCCGCGGCCGCCCCAGGAAATATGACCCAACCCCATCACCCACTCCACCCCACCTCTCCGCACAGTAAGCACTACCACTTTTTAGAATTCTGCTGGCTGGCTGGCGCGCGACCGTCTTGACCTTACCGCGGGTTATCGTTTTCTAATAAACGCGGCCGTACCGGCACGGTTTTCGCTTGGTCGTTGTTTAAAAAGAAAAAAAGAATGGTTAAAAAAAAAGAAAAACGAACCACTAAACGCCCTCTCGTGCCTGCTGCCTTTGTCGTTCAAACGTGTGGATTGATTCATCCGTGTTCGTTCTGGTCTTCTTCGAATGTTTTATCTTTTCTTGGAAATTCGAATCATTCGTCAAAAATCGTGGAACAGTTCTCTTGTTTTCAGCTTTTTTTGTTTTTTAAAGATTCACGTTTAGAAACACGTACACATTTACGTTCGCTCATCGTGGTCTGTTTATACCACCTGTCTGACTCGGAACCACTCGTTCTACTTGTGATCTGTTTGACGTTTTAACCTTCTCTCTGTGTACAAATATATTAATGTTAAGAGGGGTGTAATTACACCCCATGTATTTTCAGTGAAAAATGTAGAACAAAAAACTTCGGTTGCGTGTATGTTTGTAAAGGTTTATTAAGTTTTAAGAAGATAGAAATTTTCTTCAAATTCTGTATGAAACATATGACAGATAGCATTCCCGAGAAAACTTTGGTAATTTTAAATAACGTTTTTATTAGTCTGGGGTGTGTTTGCACCCCTGTACACAGAGAGAAGGTTAGCGCGACGCGATAGAGACATCGATGCCGGGTAAATGACTTCCAAGGCAGCAAGTAGCGGCTCTACGCAGTTTATCCAATCCCGAGAAAACGAATTCCGCATCATGCCTGCCTCGAACACCTTTAGAACCCGTTTTCCTCGAGAACCGGACTAGTAGTACCATCCGAATTTCCTTATTGGTCACCCAGCGGTGCGCAATTCTCGTCACAAGAATGTTCTTTTAACACTTGCACTGCCGTTCATGGGTCTTTTCAGGCCCAAGATGCACAATTGTTTAAGAATCTGAAAAATTATGTATTCTATTTACAAAAAAAAAGATTTAAACGTTTTAATGTTTGAATATTACTTGTGAGTCTTAAAAGGCCCACCCTTCAAGTAAGTTTTCTGTCAACGGTCGTGCCAGTGTTAATCACGTTCATTCAGTTTCCCTTAGTGAAAAGTGCGAAATATTGCTCATCTTCGAGTAAGACAATGAATTTCGTAAAACGAGAAGAAACTTATACGAACATGAAGTAAATTCAATTTGAAAAGGACATTCACTTGAAATTTACAGACCCGTACAGGTATTACAATTCTACACCGCTTATTAAATCTCGAGGGGATTAAATCTTGCGCACCTCTGCTCGTGACGTCCAAAACAGCCCCGCCCTAGAGTTACATCCCCGTAAAACGTCACTAGAACCGTAGCCCCGAGGCTCTAGCACACACCCGAGAGAGCTTAAATTCCCTGTTCCGATCCTGCAGGAGCCCAGCCACAGGACGATTGGTCCGTGCTGCAGGATCTCTGATGTGTTTAGTGGTTGCTCGCATGGATAATCAAGGTTCCTAAATTATTCGTCCCTCGTAAAAACGAAAAAAAAAAAAACATATATATATATATATGATTGACAACAACAACAAATAACTGAAAAGAAAAGATAAAAAGAACCACCCGTAAGACTATCCTATCACTGAAAACACTGTGCTTATAATTGTATGGTGCTTACGTAGTGGCGTTTGCAGTGTCTTGGAAGAATGTGGAAGTGTTTTTTTTTTTTTTTTTATTTTTCGACCGCGAACAAACGTTTCGTTAACAACTTGGGTTTTTTTTTACTGTGTTCTTTATGCCCCTGTCTTTGAGCTGATTCTTTTCAGTACGGTTTTCCAATCTCTTCTACCTAACCACTGGATCCGCGAACAACCCCTGGTTGAGCCAAACGTTTGTCCTATGATTTTTTTCAGTTCTCGTCTTCGTTTTTATTTTTCGTTTCGCTGTGTTTTGAGGCTGCGTAGCAGTAGCGATAGAACAAGTGCCGATTGACGATACATATACGTTCCTGAAACGGGAAGGTGAAGCTTTTGTGTTGCTGTTTTAGATTTTTTCGTTTTTCCAGTGTCGATTGAAAAACGACGTTCTCGCCGTTTTCATTTCTCCTTACGTTTCGCCTACTTTTTTTTTTTTTTTTAGTACTATGCTTTTTTTCGACGTGCGAATGGTTTTTCGGTGTGACTGGTCGTGTGTGTCAGGGCTACTCGCGCATGTGTAAATTTGTGTACATTAAGCGTGTCACAACCGCAATCTCGGATGATACGGAATTCTTCATTCATCGCCTACCGACCATTCTCTTCTAACTCAGGTACCTCATCGTTTACGTACTAACTTCGCAACTTCCCGGTAAATTTTCTATACTTCTTTCAATCGTCTTTTTGTATATGAACGTTTTTTAACAATTTTTCTCTACTTTTTACTACATCTAAATCTTTATCCATCTACCTATTTAACTCTCTCTCTCTCTATCTATCTATCTATCTTTCTCTTTCTATCTCTTCCTCTCTGTCTTTTTTCTCTAATTCTCTTTACTCACAGCGCTCTAAGTCACTTGATAAACGGCTCCAGGCATCGATTTTTTCTTACATTTTTTCACTTCGCATGCAAGCAGTCTCTTGCAAAAAATCTTGTCGCGAAACTCGTGTGATATTAATCGCACGGTATTGAGCTTAAACATATCGTTTCTGGGCATGATCGATTGTTTGCAAGAGAAAAAACGTACCATTTTCACGGGAGATTCGTATTCCGGAAAATGGTACACACCACAGACGGTCAGCGTTCGATGCCGAATCAGTATCTAAACAATTACGGATGAGTACGGAGGTAAGCACAGGTAAGCCTCGGGGCCGTTTATAAGCCACGACGTCGTTTCCGAATCAAGAGTCAAAGAGCTTACCAAGCTCCTAGATATATCTTCCTCCCCGAGGAAAACGAACCAATGGAAACGGGAGCGCTTTCTTTTTTGGAATTTTTTCTACAAACTTTTTTTCTTATCTAATCTCGCTCAATCTCAGCCAAGAGCCGATCGTTGGACGAGCGAGTGAAACTGGTAAAAAATGGGTAAGAGTTTTCGAAAACTCTTTTTTCCAATCTTTTTTATATCTCTTTTTTAATACATTATCTCATATTCGTGTATACATTTTTTCATAATATTATACTTCTCTAATCTCTATATCTCTTTCCATTCTTTCTCTCTCTCTCTCTCTCTCTCTCTCTTTCTCTCGATTTCTCTGTCTCGCTCTCTTTCGATCTTTATATACCTCTACATATTAAAAACTCGATCCACACTTGCACACACTGTACACACAAAAAGCTCTATCTTGAACCCACCCACCATCCTACCCCCTACCTCGTCTCACGAAAAACCACCACCGAATATTACTCTCGAAAATTTGCTCCACCCCTCCCCCACCCCCGTATACATCGACACAGTACTAAAATAATTTTTAAAAAAGCTTATATCTATATATACACGCGTTTTGATATTTCAGGATCGCAATTGACAGACGGACTACGATGATTACTAATAAAATTTTCTCTGTCGATATGTAGGGGTGTCCCGTCGAAGAGTCCAACCCTAACGCACAGCCCGACCATGTACGGTGACGCGTTGAACGCCAATCTCCAGGTAACTGTTTAAAATCAATGCATCGTCCGACATCGCGACGATCATTCGATTAATCACGTTAATGTATCTTTCGTAGTCTCGACGATAGGTACACGTGAAACGTACTGCCATGACTAACCATCTAATGCAATTTGAGTATTTCCAGGCGGCGCTCGGGGACTCCAATATGGGTTTTCTAAACAACACGATGTGCACGTCGACGACGACGAGCCCCGACAAGGAGCACGTGTTAGCCCACAACGACTTAATGTGAGTTGGACGCACGTAAACCTAATTCTGTATAAAATCTCCAACCCCAGACTGTAAGTTTGAATATCCAGTTCCGTCCATCGATTGTTCATCGGACAAAGAAAACTGACACCATTGTTGTCGATTTGTTTCAATAAATTTTGCGAATATCATTGAAACGCGCGAAAGGGGGCAGTAACTTGCCCGAAAATTCTGCTCATCGACGTCGATCGAATACAGTAAATCATCGTTGAGTGTTCTGAGGCAAACGCTCACTGCTGGGAATAACATCTGAACATGCAGCGTCGAGGAGCCTTCGAGCATTCATCGATAATTCACTGTAGAATGTATTTTAGATAAAGTTTTAAACACCAACAGGTCACCGTTGGATGAACCAGCCGTGCACATAAAGCAAGAAGGCCAGAGCCCGGAGGGGGGTAAGCTCACGAGATTAATAAAACGGGAGCTGATCGACGCGCCCGCGGAACAAGAAGGCGACGACGATCAGGTGGACGAGAGGGAGTATCCGGAGAGTCACGGGCACGATTCCGGCCAGGACGAGGACATGGCGGAGGACCTATCGATGGCGCCCGACATAATGACTCCGGAGGATCAGATCGAGGCGTAGTATCGTTCCATGAGCATCGAATAGGTTCGAGCTGTCGCTTCGAGGCCCGGGGTCGCGGGTGGACGAACGATACAGATTCCTCTTCTCCGTCGACGTGGGGTCGAGAAACCGTGGGCGTGGGAGGGGGGGGGTGGACAAAAAACGTGTAGAACGAAACGAAGTCGCATCGAACGGAGAGGAAGACTACGCGAAAGACGAACGATCAATGCCCTATAGGATCACCACTCCACTCCTCCTTCGTAAGAGACCCACATTACTCATCATATCCGAAGCCGTAACGCTTTAGAAGCGGCTTTACAAAAGGTAAAAAAAAAAAAAAATAAAAAGAAAGAAAGGAAGAAGAAGACTAAACGAACAGGAAGCGCCCCCGTAGACTGTGCGCGTAATCGGTCGCGACGAAAATGTCGACGATAGTCGACGGTGATTTCGGGACTGCGCGATCCTTCGATCCATATCCTTACTCAAGCAATTGCGAACAACGATGTATATTCTGTTCTCTCCTTCCGTTTCATTTCGGAATCGCGGTTATATCTATATACATACACATAAATATACATATGTATCTCTCTCTTTCACAGACACACACACACATACAGACACACACACTTTCTCTCTCTCCCTCTCCTCTCTCTCCTCTCTCTCTTTTCTCTCTCTCTCTCTCTCTCTCTCTCTCTCTCTCTGTTTCGTGTACATTGCATTAACGAGTATAAATGAAGATAGTAAAGAAACGAACGGATTGTATCCGCAATTTCAGATATCCTTAAGAAAAAAAATGAAAGGAGCGAAGAGAGATAAATCGATCCCGGCGTCGTGGCTCGTTTCGTACTTCCGGTAGCGCGTGCACGCGTGTCACGCGACAAGTTCGTTGTATGATTTAACAATGGGAATCATCGATTGTATTTAAAGAAATCGAGAATTTCAAAATTCTCGAGCGAGGGAAATGATGGTGCATGCGATCAGTTTCTCGTGTAGAAGGACGGGAAAAGGCTGGAATTTAAATTTTAAGGGAGTAAATCGTGAGGCTGTGGGCGGTGCCGGGCACACGCGGGTAAAGTAAAACGACTGACACTTTTTAGTCTTTAATGTAATCGCGGTTAAATTAAGGATCGTGAGGATCAAAAATCTCTCGTGATGTAAATGAATAAAAGCCGGACTCCTTGACCGGGGGGGAGCTCCATATCAGACACTTAAAATTAAGGGGCGTCCACAAGCGACGCGTTTCCCCGTACGCGCCCGTCCGCTGCTCCGACGCCTGTGTATAGTTTAGAGGGGGTAAAGTAGCGTTTCCATCGACGATCATATTAACGTCGATGATGCAAAAAAAAAAAAAACGTGCGCGCGCGCGCGCGCAATTTTTTTACCATACAATTTCACAATTTGGAACCTTGATCACCGTTAGAAAGGGATAGAAATAAACGGGGATTTAGCAAAGACGAAACGAGACGACGCGCAGGAAACAGATGCAAAAAAGCAGCAGGCAAAGCGGATGGCACGAACACTTATAAATAAATTAAATTACTATGTATGCATATACATATACATATATTAATACGTATACGTATCGAAATTATAAGAAAAAAAAAATTAGATGTCGATGGCCCCCGTTCTCCCTCTGAAAGATAAAAAAAAACAATTATGAACTCGCCCTGGAACACCCTCACCCCCCCTCACCCCCTCGTGTAATCGAGCTCGGTTCCGAATTTTCGAAATGGGACTGCGGCCAGTCGAACCTGAAGCATCGTTTGGGGTGAGGGGCGCCTGTACTCGTCGATCTTCGAGCCCCCCCGAGACCACGAGTTCAGTCGAAAGCGAGCTCTACTCGGCACCGGACGTGAAAAATTCTTCGGGGATCGCACAATTATCGTGACACGATCTATTCCAATTTTTTCTTTTTTATGGACTTTCGCGAGTATTGTGTGCGTATGTATCGTGTGTGCGCGCCCTTCAACCGCCGCCAACGGCGACCGGAAGTCTCGCTCGAGCGTGTGTGATATATTCCGTTCGACTCGTAGCACAGAAGGTGATACGTTTGTTTGTAATATTTTTGTAAATTAAATTAGTTCTCGTGGACGGTAGCGCGTGTAGATAGTTTTGCAGCTCCTTAATTGCGGGGGTGTATTAATCGTCGATGCGGGACTTCCGTCGCCTGCAGGCTGCGTTTCCTGTGACGGGGATCTATAGGGACTATGGATCGATGTTACGGTAAAGAAAGTGCCGTTAGTGCTTCTACGATCGCAGTGAACGCTACGAACACGCGGAAATTTCGTAAGTAAATATTGAAAACAATCGTAAAAAATTATTTACGAAAATTTTACAAAATACTCGGTACGAGAAAAATACACTTGATTTTTTAATTCTCTCAAGTGGAGTGGTAACCTAGTACAGTTCTTTTTGATATAAGTGAACAATAATTCGTTTATATTAATCACACGAGATTCGAACGATCTACGAAATCGAATCGAAATCCAAGGGTAACATTCCTATGGTTCTTTTTTTTTTATGTTTGACGAGTCCTGCCTCGCTAGATGTCACACGACTACCCTCGATCTTTTTTGAAACCATTCGCTGCCCATTGTTTACAAACCTTGATCGTTCTAACGTTTACCTGCCCTGTCGGTTGCCACTATTCGGTCCTAAAATTTAGACACCTGGTGAGGCACGTAATCTATCACCCCTGCCCTCCCCCCCTCCCCTCTTACTTCAAGTGTCATTTATACATTATCCTAGACTTTTCAGTGCTCTGTTAGGTATTCTTACCATTCCGGTTGTAAAATAGTTAGACGTTTAAGTTTCACACTATTACTAGGTTCGGAATCTTCCTTATTTTCATGTCTTCTTCATAACGTTAAAATCAAGTTCCACTTACTATCATCGTTTAGTATCACATTTGTCGATAGGGAAAACCTGTGTATATGTGTGTGTGTATCGTCGCGAAACGTCATTGAACAATTCGAATTTATAGAAAAAGCAAAAGAACGAAGGAAAGTGTTCCACGGGGGTGGAAAGATCGATAACACTTGGTGCAGATTGGGGCTCGCTTTCACGTAACGCTACCTATTACATAATATCTAAGTCTATATGTATTGTGTATAACGGATTAAGGACTTGATATAACATAGAAAGAAGACTCTCCTGTAAATAGTTAAACTCGTCGAGGCATTAGGGATTTGCGAAAACATTGCGTACATTTTCTGCGAATGAATGAGTTTATCGATATACTTGTGTGGTATGTAAAACAGTCGTATATACATACACGAAAAAAAAAACACACACACACACACACACACGTACATACACACGGACAAAATAAGTATGCGCGCGTGTCTCGGCTGCATTTAATTTTTACTTTTGAAAAAGAAAATAATCTCGAATTTCCCCGAGAACAAAGACGACGACCGTCGATTCTCACGGGTCGGCAGCTCGACCGAAGAATGTACACTTTTCCTCGTTTCGATCGAAAACAACGTGACGATCGATTTAGAAGTGTGATCGAATCGATGGAATAAGAAAACACTGCAAAACAAAGAAAGATAACACGAGAGAGACCGTACGACGATTTTTTTCATTCGTTTCACGAACTTTTGTATAGTAGCCCGCTGTTACCTTGCGAATATTCTATATTGTACATGTTTAAACGTTCCCTGTTATGTTTGTTGTATATTTCGACTAGGTACTGTAAAGAAATGTTTAAATTTTTCGTACGAGCGTAGGAAGTTTTGGAACAACGGGAGCATTTTAGCGTATACTCTCCGCGTTCGTCGATCTTGAGAAGTCGTGTGTTTCTCGGCCAGATAATAGTTCGCGGAAACGGGTGTATGTTGTTTTTTAATTACTCCCCCTCGAGTGAGGTCGAGCGATTCGATCCCCTCGAGGATCTATTTGTTACGGCGCGCGAGGAGCCACACCGCGATCATATCAGATTATAGTGAGCAACGCTTAGGAGACGTTCACATCGAAAGAATTTTCGTTGTTTATTTCCCCAGGGGAACAAGTGTTTTAGGTTTGAAACGCGAAGGATCTATTTTTTCAAGCACGGCGCGACACAATACATTGGTGACAAAAAGGGGGGGGGGAAAGAAAATGAAGTTTCTCGGACTAGTTTTTTGAAATTGTTCTCGTCGCTTCGATCGGATCTCGCGCGTGTGTCTGACTTCGCGAACGAAAACTCCTTCAGTATTATCCTGTGCCGTATGAATAAAAACAAAAAAAAGAAAAATACTATGGGAAACGTGCGGAAACTAGGAAGTTCTTGAACGCAGATCCGAGCTCTTTAGGATTATTCGACGAAAATTCCTAGAACCCTGTCGTCTGGATTATTTTACTAAGTATTGTATGATAAGTTGCCTTGTAAAAATGTACCGATTTTACCAAGAAAAATTAAATGTGTTACTAAAAGAAAAATAACCAAAACCCTCTCAGCTGTGTTTCATCGTACCCTTTTTTTCACGCGCGCGCGCCGGCGGAAAAAAGGGCGGCGGAGGATCTAGCAGTTTTCTTGTCGATTAAGTAAATAATTGTAAGTACCATCGAGAGTTTATAATTTTCACTGTACTTTCTTTGTATAAGACTGACATCGTTTGTATATGCTTAAAGGGAGGGGAAGATACGATCCTGTTAGGTTCGACAAGAATTTATACACGTGAATCATCGATGTGTTTAACGATATATGTGTTTAGATGACGAGAAGACTTATATCGTACTGTACATAGAGGACTTAAGGAATCGCATTTTCTAGCTCGAATTAAGCTCTAGAATTAAGTCTTTATCTAATAGAATCGTCTTGAAAAGAATATATATATAATAAAACAGCAATTCGTGAATATGAGGATACAAAGCTGTCTAAACTGTTTGTTTCCGAAACTCCTTGTTTGTCATCTTTAATAAAAGAACTGCAAACAATTCAATTCTGTCTTTGAGACTTCCATATTATTTAGACAGTTTTTCGTACTCGAAATTTTTCAGTACAAATTACTTTCGAAACTGCCAACTAAAATGAAATTTATCAGAAATTATTCACAACGTAGAACTATTATTGAATAATCAATAATTTCATTGTAGGATTACCGTCTACTGGTACACAATACTGCCAGTCGACAAAAGCAGAATCTGTTTAGGTCTAATCGATAAAATACCATTTTACGACACAGAAAGAAATTTCCTTACCCAACGTAGCTCTTATCATTATTTATCGTTTCGTCGCGGTTTGTGTTCGTTGATTAAAATCCTAAAAGAAAATGGTTAATGAATTAACGCGTAACTTATTACTACTAAAATACTCTCTTTTATTACGTTACTTTATAGCTTGGAATATACACGGTTTGAACGAGACGACATATTCGACCATTGTAAAAATAAATATTTCAAATCAACGACTGCTCCACATTCCATCCAAATCCAAATTAGCAACAATGTCTTCGGTCCCCCTGAACGCTCGATGTTCCCATTATCACTTTCTCGATCAAATCAAATTGGCTTCATCGTCCTCCGTCTGTTGCGCCTCTATTTGTCGCAATTGACTCGACACCAATACCCATTTCGAGGACCACGAGGATCTTTCCATTTCCTGCGTGTTCACCTCCTCTATCAGGTTCATCAACCTGATGAAAAATTCGTTGAGCTTCGCCGCGGTTCCTCGACGTAGCTTATGGAAATTTTTGTCTGCAAACGAAAAGTCGTACGACCAAATACGGACTCTATTCGATAGAACTTGAACTGTATTTTCCCTGATACCTGATTCAGGGATAAATACATAATTCAGAATGGAAATAGGAGGGGGAGTGGGATAGAATCGGTGTATCGAGGCCTGTCACGTTTCGTCCCGACGCGTACCGACTACAATTGATAATATAAATAGGACAATGTAGCTTGGGCTTAGATGAATCAATATTTCTGGCGATCGTGTAATGGCGGGGAACGTAGACGTATGACAACTGTGTAGACAAACCTCATCAAATATACAACAATCCGAGAATGGATATTGATAACGTTTTCCGCCTCTATACTAGCTCCAAGAAGCTTCACGTTCTCCTTAAGTATATACCTACTACACTCTACTTAGCGAACTATCGACAAGCGAATCGAAATTTTGTTTCATATTTACTGGAAGGATAGAAAGAACTCCTGATCCAAATACTCTGTTGAGTGAGGGTGGCCATGAATCGTTTCGTTATCAAGCTCTGACTTTCGGCCGTCATCGGTCTCAATCGAGTGACGAATCGTAGAAGATACTCCAATAGATATCTGTTACAAGCGGACAGCTTCTCGAGGCATCGTTGTGGCTTGGAACCCCAAACAACGATGTAACTCAGACTGTCTATGTCGAGCACAGGGTGCTTCAGGGTCTCCAGCCACTCGAACAGTAATCCTGAGAGGATGTTTAAGTTGGTTTCCATTTGCAGTCTCTGCCAGGCTGTTGATCTGTGATTCAGATCCGCCTGGAAATATACATTTCTGCTATTTTTATTATCCTAACAATCACCATGGTCTAATAGAAATTCTTCGAAAATTCTGTGTTAAACACTCTGAGGTCGAATCATCCTAGGAGTTTTTTACTCTGTCTGTTATACAGACTAAACTAACCAAAGTCGTATTTTAACTCAGTCACCTGGTAATCCAGCAAACGCTTCTTCGTCTTATCAGGCAACGTCGCGTTGTCCCTGATCAGAGCTCTGATAGCCTCTTCCGTGCTCACAGTTTCGAAGGCTGCATTCTGAGCGGCAACCTTCAAGTCCATGTGCGACTGAATCTCCTTGTAGCAGTCGTTGTCCACCAGATCTTGACCGTGGATACCATCACCGAGGACATCGTCCACGCAGTTGTCATCAAGACCTACGAGACATTAATCCGAATCGTTCTCAATAGACCACTTCTCACTGACACTATCATTATTTTGCAGGTGGATTCACCTGGATAAGTGGAATCGCAAGACGGAGTGTCCGGGGAAGTGCAGAACACGTCGCTCAATCGACCAATATCGTCGGAGGTGTCCCTCGAAGACGCCTGACTACCACTCGCGCACGCCTTCGCAGAGCCTGAAGAATTTATCATTAAAAATTTCTCGTAGATAATAATTTTGATGATTTTAACTTACTAGAACAGTCGAGAGAAGAGTCTGCAAGGGACTCGGCCCACGAGTAAGAGTGCTTGATGTTGTTCCCTTTGTTGTCGCGCAATTTCTCCAACACGTTCGATATGAACTTTTGCGTGAACGATGTGCTAGAGACTTCGAATCTAATCTCGCTCGGCGAATTATCCTCCTGACAGTCGCATAGCTGGAGGATTCTCTCGCAAATAGTGAAGACGATCTAAAGTAATCGTTCGGCAAATGAAAACGAGTTCCCCTTCGGAACCAATCAAAACAAAGTAAACGGTAGCTAAGTAGAGGACGGGTTTCGGGCAGAAAATAAATTTATGAGGGGCTGAAAAACATTCCGTCTTGACATGAATGCTCCGAAGCGAACCCGAATACGTCGCATTACTGTATTAGTTTCTTAACACTTTATCTACCGATTGCTATTTATAGATAACGATTAACAGCCAAGGAACTATTATTAAACGGTTCAATCGCGGTTGGGATCTAAGGGTAATATTAATAGATTTTTTGATCTATTAAAACTAAGATTTAAAAGCTGGTTAATAGACTATCGGTCGATAAAGTGTTAATTAGTCGTTCTACGTCTAATTGTAAGAAGGTATCGGTATTATATTTTGCGATAGCAATGTTGAACGGAACCTTTGGAATGTGTTTGAAGGTACGTTGCTCGTAGCCGTGCAGAAAGTTGTGCTGTTTCTTGAGGTGCGACTGCAGGCTACAAGATTTACGGTCCCCAATCGCGCTGCTCAAAGGGAAAACTATCATTTGCGGAAGAACGAAATGCTCGAATTCCTGGATGCAAAGTATCTGCCCTCGCGTCTGTATCGCGGACGGGCGTTTCATGCGTACGAATCGTATGGCGTCGTTCGCGCGCACACGAAGACTGTAAATAAGGTAGCACGCGATCAGAACGCCGGTTCTGCCCAGGCCTGAAAATGCAATTTTTCTTGTCAACTTCCGCTAAAAAAATAACCCCCCAGTTACTGATACGATTACAAAATCCTGTTCACTACTCCCTCTATAGTCGCACTATACTGTCTATAGAAAGGGAAATACCGTGCGCGTCTCCAGTTAATTCCACGATCATCGATCGCCGCTAATCCGAGATACAAATTACGTGCCCGTGAATCGAATCCGGAGCTGGTTACCGTAGCCGACGATGTCCCAGAATTAACAAGAGTTATGACGTATCCGGCGCTACAATCATTCGATATCGCCGCGTCCTGTGTCTCGACTAGCTAATATATGTCCACGCCATTCGAACCCCCTAATTAAGTCGCAGAGAGAACACGCGAGACACGCGTGGAATTTCGGAAACGGAATTAAATCTCGACGATATCGCGGTGAGTCCGTTCCAGGAAGAATTTCCGGTGTCGTTGATGTATTTTCCATGATAAATACCAGCGTTTCGTGCTCAAGTAAGAAGAAAACTCGCGTAATAAATCATTGGTGCATATACCGTTTCGTAATACCTTCGTGTAGATAATCCATGGGTCTCGTAAGTGCACATTCTGTGACTGATTGTCGGATAAATCGTCGGAGAATGTAACATTTATGATTGTTATGTAGGCACGAGTCGGAGAACGGTGTTATCGAATAACCAATCGATTCGATCGAACGCAAGTTTGCGCTCGGGTTTCTGAACCCCCCGTGCGTGCACAGTATCGCTGGGGATCTCAGGCCATTTTATGAATCGTTCCTCTGTTTTTCAACAACTTCCTACTTTGAACGTGCTCACTACTATAGTTACGAATCGTAAATAGAACCGTGGTTACACCCCAATTCCTTATCCGCCCTTATCTATTTTTCGTGCACATAAATTTTCTTAAGGTGATGGACCGGTTACGTTTTATGGTTCGCAAACACGCGCTCATCCCGTCAATTAGACATATTCGTTACAGAGGGGATACTAAATTTTCTATCGCGATTGTCATTCGAAACTACTTTACCCCATTTTCATTCCGTTCGGTTCGATTGTTCGTTTTAACCCCTTGTGTACAAAAGGTAAATAATATTCAGATCAAGATATTTCTCAAGGAACCACCGAATTTGGTTTGATCCCCGTGAAATAATAACGAAATAAATCGTCTCGATTTTGGTATCATTTCCAAAGTACAGTTAATCATCGATGAGTGTTGGAAAACTCTTCGGCACAGATTGGTTCCACAGGGGAGTCCCCTCCCCCTTAATAATAGGAATGACATCTAGACACTCAATGTCCAGGAACCTTCGAACACTCATCGATGATTTACTGCATATAAATTTTCGATGGCCAGATTGGTCCCCTTCCACCATCGTCCTTTTCCCCCGAATTTACATCGTACATGCAATTTTTACGGCCGCAATGCGCTCGAAAGTTCAAGGGAGAGGCCGGTATTATGCATAACGAATGCAAAAATCCCGATGCACCGGCGTCCTGCGGCACGCAATGCACCAAAACTGGTATCGCGACAGGCGAAACATGTGAAACAGGTGTGCCCTTAGAGATCGATATGGACTCATATAAAGGTTCGAGATCGGTGATAAGGAGGCGGAGTGATCGCGAAAACCTCCAACAATCCATTCGAATTGAAACGTGACGAGAACAAGTGACGATAAGGAAAATCGAGTGCATCTATATACCGTCCTCCGCGATAAGATATTCGGCTGACTTCTCGACAACAGTTTTACAGGATCGCGTTCATCACGCGAACCGAGATTCGCGAGAGATAGCTTAATGAGACCGTTGAAAAATACAGACCTCGAACCTACATTCGCTTCTATTCGGAACGAAAAAGAAATCGATTTACCGGCGTGACAGTGAATCGCCACTCTTCCTTCTTGCACCCCGAAGGCCACGACCTTGACCATGTCCAGAAGCTTACCCATGGTCGCGTCCCCGTAGTCCTTCAACGCGAAATTGTAATAGTAAACTGCAACAAATCCGTAAGATCTAACCCCCCCCCCCCCCCCCCCCGCGTGAAACAACTGTTTTCTCCGCATGGATACACGATGTGATTTTGCTGCATTGCATGTTCCCACCTGAACTTCTTCGATCTGACTCGAAGCTGATTCCCCCTGCTGGGTTTTAACTGCCCCGCAAGGACAAGCTACCCCATCGCGCGCGATTCAATTTCATTCTTAAGTACATACTATTTCTGTACGCTAGTAATACGGAGGCCTCTACCATTATTGCCGATATTCTGTTTTCCAGATTAGTCGAGTGTACTTTTGTTCCGTGAACTGGACAAAGTCATTGCCAATAGAAATGGGACGGTGTAAAAATATAATTGATTGAAAATAATCCGAAAGCATCAAATTATTACGTGATTCATCTTGACGTGAAAATTTAAGGATTTAAAGGATTTTCTTGTAGGCCATATTTCCCGTTAGATGTAATATGTATAAATGTAACAGGATTGAATCCATTTGTAAGCAGAGAATTATTAATTAAGAAACTTCGGAAGTTTGAAAACTTTTCTATAGTCCGTTTTGCCTGGTTACTTTTCTTTACACATTGAAGCGTGTCTTGTTATTTCTCTTTTTATTAATAATTTAAATAGTTTTTTCCGTTAAAGACTACAACGCTTTAATACCTACTGCCATTTTTCATGAAGATGTTGGGGTCGTATGTGAAGCCGCTCGCTTCGAGAGGACCACCGCAGCTCGCATGCTCGCCCGGCGTTTGCAGGTTTATTATGGTTTTTATGCTCCACCCTTGAAACTGTGCAATTATATCTTTTTTTATTACCTGCGCGGTGTTCGGTCGTGCCATTGCGAGAACGTCATCCGTCACCCTGAGGAATGGATCAACCCTTACAAACCTCCAACTTCGTCGACCGCGACAGAAAAGAGGGGAACAAACGCGACATTAGATTACTTTGCGACTCGAAGACACCCGTATCGTTCGGTACCATTTCGGCGGAAAATCGATGCCAGGAACTCATCCCACGCTATTACCATCCATGTATTTAACAATGTTATATGTATATCGAATCACATGGCATTGAGTTTAATTTTATCTATTCGGAGGGGGTGAGGGTAGTTAATTGCCCCGCGATTATGATCGATTGAATTTTGTAAAAGCAATTAGAAAACATTGGAAATTGTTATGATCTGTAAGATTTTGATTTACTAAACAATTGAGCCACTATTCTTCTTCGACAAAGTAACCAAAATACTTCGTAATAATATGGGATGACAGTCTAGTATTGTTAAAGTAGTTTGAATTTTTTATTTCTATAGATACAAATGGTAAATTTTTAAAGATTAGTGAATTACTCAATGATTCACCTGACATCAGTTCAATTATTTCACGGTTATGATCGATTTTGTCTTGTCGAAGTAAATATTAATGTAAAGGGATGAGTTTGAATTTATACGATCCGTTTGATTATATGGGGTGAAATAACAGAAATGTTAATAAGCTTCTGGGAAAGTCTTACCAATGCGAAAAGATGTTCTGTATCGCCATATGCACGGGCGGCCAAGCCTTCGGGTTTTCATACTTGCATCTGGAGCCACCGCAGAATATCGCGCATTGTATCGCCTGCGGTGTAAACTTCCGCAAATTCTCGGAAAATTTATTATAACCAGCCTGGATGTCGTACAGATCCACCTGGCCGGCAAGAAGACCAGCCGGTACCAGCGAAGTTATATCCATTCTGTAATCGTTTTTAATTCCGTTCACCACCGAACAGTATTAAGTAATTTTCAAGCAAATTCTCTTATTTGTTTCGTTAATTAATCGTGACGAGGGTTTAATTAAATTTTCTAAATGTATGAAAAGTTTCTCGTTGCTCTTAGAAATTGTTCGTTGAAGAAGGAAACTCACTTACATTCGTAAAAGTGGTCACGCGCTCCCCATCCATCTCATCGCCGTGAATATTTAAATCTCCCCCGCATCCCACCCCTGTCTTTCCCTGTCGACCGCGTCCGATAATTCGAGCAGTATCTTTTTCAAACGGTTCTCTTTGCTGAGGAACGCACGGCAGATCTTAATGATCAATGCAAAAAAGCACTTTACGTACTGGGGTAAGCGCATAGCGACTGGTAGTCCCGCTAGTATTACGCTACTTTATCTTTTTGCGCCTGCGTCGTGTAAGTACATTGGCCACGAAACGACTTCCGTTTTTTTCCACCCCCGCTTGAATCAACCCCTGATCGTAGTACCTTAGCTTTTCAGAAAAATCGCTGTATAAGGACCAATGGAAAAAGAACTTAATTTTCTGGATAATCTGGCACATTCTTCAAACACAGTATGATAAACATACTTATCTGAATAGTATTCAGTTTCGTATGACAAACCTGAAGACAAGGAGTTGAAAGGATCGGAGTAATTTATGAAAGAAGCCGGCTTAGGGAAACAATCTGAACAACGAAATATCTCAGCACAGAACGATTGAAGCATCGATACTAACGTATTATCCAGTCTGATTGCATACAATTACATCAATATTAAGTAAAGGCATCGATTCACTTGATCATTTTTAGATATTAGCCTTACAATTTTGTGTTCTTCATCTACATTTAACGTTATCCTAAAGAATGGGGACGTTCAAGCGCCATCGTTTAAAAATACCGGGTTAAGTCTGGGGTTAAATTTGATTCATGCTAAGTCCGGTTAGGTCGGTTAGGTCAGTTAAGGTTAGGTTAGGTGTAACCAAATTTTGAACAAACATTTCGCCCACGTTGTTTATTGCCCTGGGGATAGTACTTAACGTCAAATTCAGTTCTGTGGAACGACCCTAACAGAATTACTGATAGACGTGGCAGCAGTTCCATATACGGACGATGAGCTATTCGACTAGTGTGCCGGCGATACCGTATGAAACCGCAGCGCAATGAATAGTGAAGTGTAGGCTGGTTTAGATAAGATTATTTTGAGTGTATTAAAGTCTTATTAATTTTCTACGGTATATTGGTGCGCCGTTCGGCGAACAACGACGAAGATGTCTGGCTTTGACGAGAATCCCTTCGGGGAACCGAATATCAATGATCCATTTTCGGTAAGCATTTCATCGGATGCACGCAATGCTTCGTTCAATATTGCCTGCAGAACTGTCAAATGGAAATTAAGTATATATGATTGAATTATGAATTTTTTTACAGTCGATTAATCTGCATATTAGCTGCGACGTAACGTTTATGAATGTTTAATACTCATAAATACCAATTACTTTTCTCTATGTGTATATCTTTATCTATAGCAGGAAAAATAGATGTTCACCTTTTGTTGCAGAATATATCTTCTAACATATTTCGGATTCTATAACAAGAAAACGAAATTCATTTCTTATGTATCTATAGTAAGGAAATCCTTGAAACCACTGTTGATTCCAAATATAGAATTTTCTTCTATGTACTCATTTCTTTAGCATAGTCATGTACAAATATTTTTCTAGTTTCAAATTGTTGGTAATGGGAAATTTTCAGTAGTTCTTGCTTTTATTTGTTGCTTAGGATCCTTCAATTAGGAGAGCTGTGTCCTCTACACCAGTCAATAGAGGTCTGGAAGACTATAATCCCTTTGCAGAGCAGGGCTCACAAGGAACTGCACAAGTTAGAGGTGCCTCAAATCCTCCTATTTATGGAGGACTTGGGGTAACACAACAGCCAGCTACACTTCAGACTTCTAATCAAGAGGCACCACCACCTGCATATGCTCGTACCCCTCAGCAAACTGTCAATGCAGCCATTGGCAATACCATGTCCCCTCCTTCAGATGTAAATTTCTTGAAATTCTATGTGCAATAATATTTCATCTTGAATTTCTCTTTAGTAACATCATTTTTGAGAAAATACTTTATTCTAGCCAAGACCGGAGCCAGAATGGAAGGCTAGGACAGAAGAAGAAATGAGGAGTCCCTCCTATTATCGTAAGTCCAATTAACAGAAACTAAATATTTAGTGCATGTTCTTATAAATCAATCTATTCTTGATATTCAAGCAAAACGAAACTGGCCACCGTTGCCTGACAAGTACTGCTTTCAACCATGCTTCTATCAAGACATTGAGGTGGAAATACACTCAAACTTTCAAAATACAGTGAGGCAACTGTATAGATTGTGGATGTGTAAGTCCGACGTATTAAAATTAGCACCGGCAAAGAAACGAACAATTTCTCGAAAGAACGATCGAAGTATTTTTCGTTTTTCGTATTTTTTATTACAGTCCACGGCTGCGTTTTAGTCCTGAATGTACTCGGTGGATTCGTGCTACTCTTAAGTCGCGGGCAATTTTCAACGTTCGGTCTTGGAATATTGTACCTCATACTGTTTACACCATTCTCGTTTTTGTGCTGGTTCAGACCAGCGTACAGAGCCTTCAAGTGCGTACACGATTACACATCGATGGTCCCTCAGGTGCAGAATATCCTTAAATAATCTCTATCTTTTAGAAATGACAGCTCATTCAACTTTATGGTGTTCTTCTTCGTCTTCTTCTTTCAATTGATCGTAACAGCGATCCAGGCTATAGGCATTCCGGGTTCTGGAACTTGGTAACATATCGATCTAATTCACGGGAGATCGAGTTTACGATTACGCTTATACAATTTTTTGTAATTTCAGCGGTATAATAACAGCTATCGCGCAGTTCGACAAATCGCCCTCAGGAATCTTTGTTGGCCTTGTACTACTCTTTGTGGCTCTTTGTTTCGTCGCTGCTGCGGGTGGTGATCTCTTATTGTTGACTAAGGTATCAAATATTTCAGAGATCTTAGTATTTAGTTTAAAGTTTATCTTCTTTTCAGAAATTAATGAAATCATTCAATATTAACTAACCCAATATATTAGAGAAATTTAGAGTCTGACATGAATCGAACTGATGAAAACAGAAGACATAATTATTCGATTTGAAGTGTATTAATTAATCGTATTCAAATTATTTCGTCTCACATTAGTGGCAGTAATGGATAGAAACAGTGCCTTGAACTGTTCTTTATTTCCGGTTTCAAATAAAATAGTCTTAGGTCTAGATGGGCGGAGAACGTTTCCATAAATAGCAATGTCTTCCACAGATCCATCGTATCTATCGTTCATCCGACGCCAGTGTTTCGAAAGCGCAACAGGAATTCGCAACAACTTTCTTGCGCAATGAGCACGTGCAAAACGCCGCGAGCAACGTCGCCGCCAATGCTATCCACGCCCAAATGTCTAGTGCCGCTAATCAACCCCGTTACTAAAGCAAACGCCGATGCCTCATCACGATTAATCCTTCAGGTATCCTGATGTGTTTTGCCGCTCAGTAAAACCGATAGATCATAGTACTGACGCGTTAACCTGTGCATTACAAGAAACTAATAATGTTCCACGGAGATTTTTGTTCTTTCATCGACAAAGCTATAGTATCTACTTAGAGTCGTCCGTTTGTGTTTTCGAAATCGTATCTGTGCATGGCTCTTTGATTATCGATTACAAGCAGAAGAACGATTTTGCGTGTATAATTTATTGGATAAATTTCGTGAAACAGTTAACCCGGCCACTTTGTCTGCTCGAACCATTTAACGCCACTGTTTTCTTCATTTCGTTAAAAGTATTCAAAATTAACACGCAGCGGTGTCTGTGCGCACGTCAGATAAACCATGTGACGCGTATCACATCATCTTTAGTTCGGTATTGATTCGACAGAGCCGCGAAATAATTTATCATCTACTAGGAGTGAGCTATCAATAATCATATCACTAATTCTCATATTATTGCTTCTATATACGTACCATATATTTGCTAGCTTTTGTATTTTAGTGACACCTGTTCAGCGATCTCTTCGATCGCGATCGCGATTACGCGCTCGCGCGCGGCTTTCTCGACGGGAACGCGCACACGGGTTCGATACAAAAATCAAAATACAACTCGAACAGTCGTGTCCACGATTATAGAATTTAATTCTCGATTGTTGATCGATAAGCGTTAATTTACTGATGAATTATACAGAAGCTCGATGTCCTTTAATCTACTCCCTTGGATAAACGTCCTGTGACATTCCTTGCAATGTTGTAATATATGGCCTCTCTTTATTAAGTACTTGTTATTTAGATCCTTTGAAATGTTCAACCACTTTGTAAAGTTTAAGAGAAATACATATACGTATTATGTATATGTGTGTGTGCGCGGTGCATGCGTGTAAAGGATATTTTCAAGTCCTGACCTTTACCGCATGTCTAATTATTTATTAATTATCGATAAATTATTTATAGACTACGAAACATTGGGTTTAAATCGTTGCCGTTACCTTTACTTGGATGTATCTAATCGTCTCAGATCAACTGGAAAACGTATATCAAGTTATTGTTCGGGATATGCAAAATGAAATGGCAAAAAATGAAAGAAAGAAAGATTGAGGACCTTGTTATTTGTTGAGACTCAAACCAAACAGATTATGCCCTCACCCCCAAATATATTTTTACACACGAGACAACGTTTAAATTGATTACAATTATCACAACACCTTTATTGAATCGCAATGAACAATAGAGTAATTCGTTTTGTATAAACAAAAAGTTGTTTAAATTTTATAAATACGCTGGTATATTTGTACTTGTGTAAGCGGTATAGAAGAAAGAAACAAAAAGTGACAAATAAAATACTTAGTTTAATCATAACGAACTCAATCTCTTCTGTTAACAATTGATCGATCGAGAATCTCATATGAACTTCGTAGAAACCGTAGCTCTCACAGTAAATGTTCTAACTGTTCCAGGCCAATAGTACTCAATAACATTTTACCTGTGATTAGAGAAAATTCCACTGATCTTTCCTCGGATGCGATTAGATAAGATTATTTTCGTTTCCAATAGATATATATCACTGAATTCATCAGAAATTAATAATACATACCTTCAGATTTATATACTGCCATTGGATCAGTCGGAAACGAACAGCCGGGATCAACCTCAGACGGGCTTCCAGTACCAATTAGCTTAATCACAAATATGGCGTCCATAAGTTCAATTTTCGACTTGAACATCAGTTTAGCGTGACCCTCGGCTAATCTGAAGAATATATGTATACCGTTATTTCATCCCGCGATCCGAGTATTAAGCACGATTGGAGTATAACCAAATCTAAATTCACTTTTTCTTCTCGGTTAACAGGTACCAAATAATTAATTATCATTTACTAAATTATTCTACACGTTGCCTTTGCTACCTGATAAGACTGTCCAACAGACGTACTGTCGTTCTTTCTTCTCGTCTCCCAGGATGGGATCTATGATAAAGATAAGTCGCCCTAAGTACTAATTCAGCTTCCTTCGTTAATTCCGGCTGCAACGAGTGAATATGAGCCAAATACTCTCGCAAGGACTCTTCTTTCCATACTCCTTCTGACTTTAACAACTCGATGTGATTCTTTAGATCTCTGTTAAAACAAAATGGCGGCTAGAATCGAAAAAAAAAAGAACTCTGGAAATCGTGAAATTCTTTGATTTACGTTCGCGCCGTGCTTTCTTTCTTCTCGTAGGCGGCTCTCAGAATATGATCTGACGTCAGTTTGTCCCATACTGGATTCCTACTGTCCTTCAAAAGGAGAATCAAGTCGAACCTTGACAACAGGGCATCCCCGAGATTCGTTTCCCACTCTTGTTCGTCGTTGAACTGTCCGCCATTTGGATTGATCGCTGCGATCACTGAACACCTGGAATTTAACGTACTAACCAACCCAGCTTTGGCGATTGATATCGTTTGCTGTTCCATGGCCTCGTGCACAGAGGTTCTGTCTTGCGAACTCATTGTCGTGAACTCGTCCACGCAACAGATTCCGCCGTCGGCTAACACCAACGCTCCAGCTTCCAAATGCCAGCCTTCTGAGTCCTATTCACAAGGATTTTTATTTCCGTATAATTTCTATATTAAATATACCACTGAGTAATCTACAATTTCCTTTCATAAATCAGTTTACTACTCCCGAGCAGCTGCCATTTGTAATGTCGGTAAGAAATTCGAGGTTGAAACTGTATGATTACTCATTGGTACGTTTCATATTATTTATTAATTCAGTTGGATCAGAAGTAATAATGATGTCAGAAATACTTGAATATTAGTACAGATGAATGTTAATTAAAGAATATCTTAGGTCACGGAAAGGAAAACGGAGGTTCATTTAAGACTCAACTGGATAATATTACAGGTAATAGATTGAATGTAACGATGACTAACTCTGACAGCAGTTGCTGTAAGTCCAGCCGCAGTTGATCCGATACCAGTTGTAAGGACCGATCTTACAGCTAAGCGAGACGCTGCACGAAGCAACTGAGACTTTCCGGTCCCGGGGTCGCCGATTAAGAGAAGATGGGGTTCGCCTCGCACGCGTGTTCCTTATTTTTTTACCAATACGTTTGTATTTTGCATTTAGTGTGTAATAAAGAGGACAACGAGGCAGACAGTTACCACTTTCGTTATGTTTTGGAACACCGCCGGCTAAAACGATGGCCAACGCTAATTTTGCTGTGTACATCCCGTATAGTTGCGGGCAAATCGAGGCCAGAATATTGTCTCTGCCCAGTAAAGGATTGTCGCTGTATTGATCCCAATAACTCTTGAACACGTCCCTTATCTCTTGGGTGGAAGACGTTTCAGATATCTTACGTCGTACAGAGACGCTGTTTGCTATCATCATGGTCGTTGCCTCTAAACGTTCACCGACTTCTAACGGACCCCACACTCGCACAACCACACCACTACAATTGGATGGTGATTAATCGAACGTCTGTATTTGGTAGTCTGTTACATCTACAGGTAATAATTATTCACCTGATTTCAACATTATCTCCAGGTCTACATTTATCAACTAAATCATCTAACAAGATAATGTGTAGTTCTTCAGCAAGAGACCTGTTGGTGTCTATTCTATATTTCTCCTAATCAAAAGCACTCAAAGTTAATGAAGTTAAGAAAAAGAACACAATAAGCATCAACAGAAAATAATAATGTACTTGTAGTCTTATTTCTTGGCAATCTGAAGAGTCCTCTAGATCAAAAGCTGTGATGGCTTTAATGTTTGTTGCATGACATATTTCACATTCTGTAGTATCTGTAAATGCTTGTGTTTCCCATTTATACTAAAATCAAGTAATTACTAAACTACTGATCAGGATAGAAGTATAGATGATATTAATGTAATCTACTAACTTTTGCAACAGTGATATGATTGCATTTTTTGCAACTATATCGTTGAACAAGCTTTAATACTGTAGGTTGTGATATTCTCACTGCTATACCACTTGTTGACACTAGTTGACCTATTTGGCCTTGGTCCACCGTGACTGGCACAGCAGTAACTCTGATACGAACCTACTCAAGGTAGTCCAAATAAGAGCATACAAATGTTAATTATTTATAAATAATGAGGTCATCCAAGCACTAATGTAATATGAAATGAATCTATGTGCTACATTGTAATTACTTTTTTTTTTACAATTTGCTCTGGTTTTGTTATTTGTTCCTGAGCTTTTATGGCACCTTCATCGCATAGCGGCAAATAATACCTAGGATATCGTAGTATTTTCTGTGCTAGATCGGCATCAGCTTCGAATAATGATACGAAGCTGCAACAGGATTAACTTTGAGACGATTAGAAAATGAAATTAATCAGAAAGTACTCACTTCACGTGAATGGAGTAGAAAACATTAACATCAATGGCGTCTAAGATCTGTTCTAACTCATCTTCATGACTTTTTAGCAAATAATCTTCTAGCATTTTGGAATTCTGTTCCCGAATCACTGTTTGAGGTTATAGAAAAATAGATTATGGGATACCGTATCCACGTGTCACTCACCAGTCGCCATTTTAACTGCTATGGTATTGTATGATCAGGGTGGTGAAGCTTTTTGAAGATCTATCACGATTTTTAGCACGCCGTCGAAATTGTAAATAATTAACAATTACTAGGACTTAATCGGCGTTCTTCAAACTTGAATTCAAGAGATTAGTGAAGAAAAAGCTGAACGGGAAACCGTTAAAACATCAATTCTTGCAGAACCCTTTGATCGGATTTCTTAGGTTTCGAGAAAATCGATCGTGACATTAACTAAGTTATCGTACATCTTTATAATGAGCAATTAGTCGAGATTAATCTACGTTGTTAAAACTGTAATTTAAGAGCTGTGCGAAAAAATAGCTCTACAGGAAACCATTGAAATCTGAATTCTTTGATGACCCTATGAACGGTCTCCTCGAGCCTCTTGGGGATCGATCGGGATTTCACTAATATCGTCGTAAGTATTTTCAATTAACAATTACTAAGTCTTATTCTACGTTCCGTTAGCTTTAGTTTCTGTGCTTGGTGGAGAAAAAGCTGAACGGGAAACCGTTGAAAAATCAATTCCTCCGCAATCCCTTGATCGGGGTTTTCAGACCTAATGGAGATCGATCGTTATTTACACTACGTTGTCGTAAAGTAATATCATTTAAATATTACGCAGGCTTTATCTACGTTCTTTAAGCTTCAATTTAAAAACTTGGGAAAGAAGAAGGTCTACACAATGCAGATGTAAAATCGATGTGTCCAAAATCCGTCTTGGGAATAATAATTATTTAATTGTAAAAACCACAAGACACCCAAAAGTTGAATTAATCCACAACAGAACATGAAATTCATCGGTGGATAATTTTCCATTGAACTTCATTGCATTCATTGTAAGTGATAGATTCTACTTGAAAGTCCAGAATGTTGAAAATTGAAATAATGAACAAAATAATTACATAACGCGAAAATTAATTATAGCGCCGTCTATAGAGAAACGCTCAAGCTACTAGCCGATTAGTGCAGCCTCCGTAATGCTAGGTGACGACACCATTCATTTTATGATGCAGTAGAATGAGTTTGGCCGTACCCGTCGTAGATTATTTTTTTAATTAGTTTAAAACAGTTAGATTCTTAGCAGAACTTAGAATATACGTAAGAAAATACCGTGGAATTTCCTCAAGATGCAATACATATATTGTTGTTGATTAATTTAATTTTTATGATTTTCCCATTCCAATAATTATTATTCGCAAAACGGATTCGGGGCACATCGATTTTACATTTGTATTCTATGAGTTTTTTCTTTCTCAAGTTCCTAAATTAGAGCTTCAAGAACGTAGATAAAGCCTGCATAATATTTGAATGAAAAGATTTACGACAACGTAATGGAAATCACGATCGATCTCCGTTAGGCCCGAAAACCCCGATCAAGGGTTGATAAAGGGGTTGCGGAGGAATTGATTTTTCAACGGTTTACCGGTGAGCTTTTTCTTCGCCAAGCACGTAAATTAAAGCCAAAGGGACGTAGCTTAAGACTCAGTAATTGCTAATTCAAAATATTTAATAATATTTAAGTATGATGACCTAATTAAAATGCCGTATCGTTCGATCTGCATCGGACCGGAGAAAGCCGCGTTCGTAGGGTCACATAAAAATTCATGTTTTAATGGTTTCCTGTGAAGCTTTTTCTTCGTGGACCTCTCAAATTAAAGCTCCCGAAACGTAGATTAAGAGTAATTACTTGTTAAGTGGAATTGCATAGACATCGTTAAAGTTACGATTAGGCGATGGCTATGTATTTTTCGTTATACATGCTTACACTGTCGATAACAACACGTTATATGGCATTGAATACCATTGTACAAGAGAGAGCTTTCAATAAATAGTTATTTTGGTCGTTGACGTAGTATGTATTTGTATCTATATGTTTGTAGCAACAGTAAAGAAGGGGAAGATCTGAACTTAAGGCGGTTTCCACGACTTATTCCAGAAAAGTCAATTAATCTGGATCACATTTATCAGTATAAACTGCTGAATACATTATAACGTTAATTAATAGTAATGAACATACGTTACTGGTACTGCTCTCAATTTCTTCGTATGGATAAATGCATTACACGTATTTTAAATATTTTTACACCTCTATGATTCATAGTTTTATTAATAAAAGCGCGTAGGGAAAATACGTTTCACATATGATGCAACGACTGCAGTTACGTACACTTATGCGTGTCTTTAGAAGATATTTTCGCATGATATCCGTTTATGATAATGGACATTTAAATATAGTATAGCATAAATATTCACGCACTGTAAGTCGCTAAGCCTATAAATTCGATACCAATATGCATTAATACATATATATCCATTCGAGGCTTTTATCTTCATAAATAAGGGGAATCTTGTTTATTCTATATTCACTGTTAATCGCATAGAGCAAAAAGATAGACAGGCATGCGCGAAAGTAGCGTATCGTTCCGACTAAATGGTGCATACGGTTTATCAGGCAATTCAGTGTCTTCTTTCCAACTGTGTCTCACAGCTGTATTGGGAATTTAATTGCAATAAATATCTTGCATTCGAGGCGGAATAACCACTCTCCGTTCCCAGCGCCCATCGAATGTATACATTTTTTGTAAATTTTTATTTTTAAATAAACACCACAACAGAGTGGTGCTGTTGTCAGTTTAACTGTCAGATTTTAGAATTCGTATTTATGTCAGTGTGAGTTACGTTGGTGTTAAATATGCTACATATGTACCATGAAATAGCGCGCACCCGCTGATCGGCATAGTAATTTATCGTATTGTTTTTATACATGGAACATCAAACAAATTCGTTAATTAAATTACTGAAATTTGGAAAAGAAGACGCCGTTATGACTGAAGTTAAGAAAGAAATTAATCGCTGAGGAATAAGTACTGTCCTTTGCATCTCTCAACTAGCCTTCTTGGTTAGTAAGAAGATCCTTGTACTATATCGTAAGAGGTGTGTATTTATTTAGTTAATTAGATCCATGACAGTAGATATTATTTCTAGGTACGACAGTATCAATTCAGTTATTATATTAATCACTACTAATAGCACTAATAGCCATAATTAATGACTTAGCCTCTATGAATATAGTCTAATACTACTTATATTCTACCATATATTTTTAAAAAATATGTAAACGTTATTGTTAGGGTATGAAAGTTACTGGAGAAGTAGTGGTTTTGAAATAAAACTCACAAAATGGTAAGCAAATTACCACAAGAGTTCAGAAGATATCACCGCAACAGAAATCAATTGCAACACATTCTTGATGAAACTCAACGAGCATTAGAACTTATAAATATTGAAAACATTTTTCCTGGAGGTGAATATTTACAATTCTGAACTTGAATTCTTCTGAAATTAGTTTAGATCTTAAGGTACTTTTTTTTTGCAGAAAATATTATTGAGGAATTATTGCCTCCATTGACATTAGACAGAATAACACACATTTTATCAAATTCTCCTGCCATTGTTATTTTTGGACAAGATAGTAAAGCAAAGGCAACTTTAGTGAATAGCTTACTTTCTAATGATATTTTGCCAGTATCTGATGGGCTGTGGCGATGGATCAAAATTACATATGGTCTGACAAATAATATTAGTCTCACATTAGGTTTAGAATATGAGGTAGTTGAAAGTTTACAGGAAGATGAAGAACCATGGAGTACTCTTCCAATAGAAGATTTAACAAAATCTGGTACCGAGGACATAAATTGTCCAACAGTGCTTGAAGTGAAGCTAAATCAGTCCATATTAAGAGATGGTGTTCAATTGTTTGTTGCTCCAAATATTGGAGCAGTCAAAACTCTGTACAAAGGACTATTGCATATTCTACCAATATTTCTTTATGCTCTTGGTGAACAACCTTTAACAGAACAAAATTTAGAACAGCTCAAAGACTTAAAGGAAACGTATCCATTTAGTCCTGTACTATTTGTATCGTCACTGGGAAACATTACGATGGCTAGTATTGATGCTGAATTGACTGAATCTGAACAACATAGACTACAAAACCGTTTGAATTTTAATGATTCGACACATAAAACTGATGAGGACGGGGGTATTAATTTTGACAAAATGAATTCACTGGGTATAACATGGCTGGAACAACTGACCAACTTGGGTTTCCTTGGTATGGAAGAATCCATGGAAGTTGATCAGCTATCTTGGCTGGGTGGGGGACAGTACGTTAGCGCAAGTGACATAGTAGATTCGTGCAGGAAAACAGATCGAATTTTATATTTCGTTCGCGGATGTTTGCACACATATCTTATTAATGCCAGTACTTGTTTGAACGACGTACACACAACTAGCCTGCGAAAATTTATTCTAAGTGCCTTCGATATGGCACGTAAAATACAAATAACTCCAAGGAGAATACAGTACGCGCAACTAAAAGAAAATGAACTATACGCCAGCTTAATGAAAATCGTTAATGAGAACCAGGAGGAATTGACTGATTTAATACAGGCTATTATACAAGAGATGAAGAATGATGTATTATTGTCAAAAAACGATCTGTATCCATACCAAAGCAGCATTTTCAATGATACTGAAAGGGCAGAATGGTCAGCAACTGTTAGAACTGCAACTTCTGAAGTTCAGAGGGTCGTGCTCGGCCGTTTGGGTGAAAAGGTTGCAAAACAACTTGTAAATTCTGTGAACTGTTTGCGGGAAACGTTTGTCGGGACGTTGCAGCGCTGTCTGCTAAGTCTCGAAAAAACATACGAACGTGATTCATGTCTGCTAGCTAGCGATGCTTTAAAGCAGATACTTTCGGCTGCGTACAATGTTGAGTTACATAATTCTTCGCCGACCTTAATACACTCATTCTTGGAAAGATTGAGGCAATTATTCAAGTCTTTACCGTTGCCATGGACGCCAACACCAACTTTAGATGCAGCATGGAGAAGAAAAGTGACCATTGATGTACTCAATTCTTTGTCAGCAGCAAGACTAGCCAGAACAATATCTATGCAATTTCGAGACAAGCTTAAGGCATCCCATGATTCGTTTCAAGCAGCTCTTAGATCTTTGGAAAATTACTATTCTGGAAAATTAGAGAGGACAGAGGAACAGAGAATAGCTATTAGAAAATACCATGCCCCTAGATTGGCAAAGCTAGCTCTAGAATCGACATCGATGACAGACGCCGTCCGCTATGGAATTCCTTACTGTGGTAAAGAAATTGGACGGGGACAGTACGGAGTGGTATTTGCTTGTGATGGCTGGGGTGGTGCACCAGGTCCATGTGCAATCAAATCAGTCGTTCCACCAGATGAAAGGCACTGGAAAGATCTTGCCATGGAGTTTTATTACACTAGATCTATCCCAGACCATAAAAGGATAGTAAAACTTCGTGGATCAGTTATTGATCAGTCTTACGGTGGAGGATTCGGTCTTGGATCCGCGGTTCTTTTAATATCCGACCGTTTGAGCCGCGATCTATATTGCGGAATCCGCGCCGGTTTATCTTGGCTGGAGCGTATACAGATAGCAATAGATGTGTTGGAAGGAATACGTTATCTTCACTCTCAAGGACTTGTTCATCGAGACATTAAGTTGAAAAATGTTCTTCTTGATACAGAGAACAGGGCTAAATTAACTGACCTGGGTTTCTGTATCACAGAAGCCATGATGTCTGGGAGCATTGTTGGAACACCTGTTCATATGGCACCAGAACTTCTATCTGGCCATTATGATAGTAGTGTTGATGTTTATGCATTTGGGATTCTATTTTGGTACATATGTGCAGGCCATGTAAGATTACCAGACGCGTTTGAACAGTTCCACAATAAAGAACAATTGTGGACCAGTGTCAAGAAAGGTAATTGTAATTCCATTAAAGTCTGGGAATGCTTAATCTTTGTTTTATATCTCTCCTTTAATTAATATTTTTTGTATAATAATAAGGTATACGCCCTGAACGATTACCTTCTTTTGATGATGAATGTTGGAAATTAATGGTACAATGCTGGGCTGGAGAACCATCCAAGCGACCTCTACTTGGTGCAATTCTTCCAGTCTTAGAATCGATTCAACAAAAAGCAGAAAGAGGCAAGTCCATACAACAACTCAACACATTAAGACTACAAGAAAGTTCGTCATCAGACTCGAAAAATTCTGCTTTAGCATTAGCAGAACCTTATAACCAGAGAGGTGCTGCAATCAGTCCACGTCCGGCCAAACGCAGGGCACTAAGAACTGTAAAACATCCTGTCTTTCACATTACTAATCTGTTTCAAGCAAGTCTTTGCTCCAATCTATACGTTCAGATGCGGGAATTCTAAAAACGTTTTCACGTTCTCTGCTCCGAATTTAATAACTTCGAAAAGATCTGACTAGTATTTAATCGCGCTCAGAATATACTCATAAGACAGCATATCATTTCCTACTGCACTTATTTGACATTATTTCGATAGTATTTCTAAATGCAGTATTAATTTGACGAACTTCTTATTAATGTTACTTAAAAAAAAGATTGTTTATTAATTCGCGGACATCATATCAACATTTTTAAAATGTAAATATAACGCATAATTACGTGTATATTTGTTTATACTAGGACTATAAGCGATTGCGATATTCGATATTGTTTTGCATACATATGTAATTAGGGGGATAAATAATTTTTTACGAGACGATACATCCCTGCACATAGAACTCATTACATGTGTTAATTCCTATCTCATTGTGATAAAAACATGTTATTGTTTGTAAAAAAAAGTAACAAAACAAAAATATTGTATTTTAACTATTGAAGAATAAATAAAGTTTCCCAATTTTCTATTTACCATTTGAATGCAATCGTAACTTTTTTTCAAAGTGTTTAAACATTTTTTAACGTTTTTAAAGACGCAATCTAAACAATTAACAGGTCCTATCTCTTATTTATAAGAATTTATGTTTTCAGATGACAAATTCTTTGAAAAAGAATCTACATGAATCTGCAAATGGAAATTAAAAGGGTGTTAACAATTTTTAAGACTTGATATTTTGCAAGAAACATTACGATTTTATTGTACAATTGGGCATGCAACCTATAGTCTTGATTACCAGCAGGTATTAAGAAACTGAGTAATTAATTTGTAAATGAGAGGGATGGTAATCTCTTAAGGTATGGAATATTTATTTTATGAAAAAGTATAAATCTAGAATTACATATACATTGATTCTTTAACTTTTATACTGTAAAGATCTTATTTTTATGAAATAATCAACTACCTGTATAAGTATTTACTGTTTATAACATGCTATACAATTGTCAATTATCACAGTAAATTGTATTATCATGTACTGTAGTCATGTAATTACATAATTAGAATTTTATTTTTACACATTTAAATTGTACAAAGGATAATATATAAAATTATGGAACAGTTAACACATGCATTAATAATTGTGTAGGAATTTGTAAAACTCACTTATTGTCATCTCTACAAAAACATCCTTAGTTTTACCATCTTCTTCTAAATCTAACTTAAGTTGCAGAAATGATTTTTCAACATTATCAGATTCGTTGCTTGCTGCAGTTACTGTAACAATTATATGCTTATATAGTACAGGTGTGTCACTGTGTAGAAGACTGTAATAAAACTATATATATTACTTAAATTATTGTGTACTTTCAATTTATTAATGAAACAATTCTTATTTTTATAATCTTCAAAAAAGAAGGAAATTTAAAACGGAATGTTATTATGAAACAAATCTATATTATGCATCAATATGATTTTACAATAACTTGCCATATTTTATTTACAAAAATAAAAGAAATACAGAAAATGTAGTCTTATTGCTTGAGGTTAAGTATTCGTACCACCAAACCTCCAAGAAACTTCACGTATTTTACTGACGGCCTTAACCATTTTTACTTAGTAATATGTCATATAACACGTCATATAATGTCGTACGATAATAGTATTTGTTAAAATACATCCAGATTACGTTCAACGAAAATCAACGTGACTCGATCGCCTGAGCGGTCGAACGGTGGTCGAACGGGAGCGAGCGAGAGCGGGAGAGCGAGCCACGGTATCGGTGCTCTCCGTCGGTGTCGACGCGTACCGAACGATGCCGAAGATGGTCGGAGCGGGCGAACGGGAGAGAGCGAGCCGCGGTATCGGTGCTCTCCGTCGGTGTTGACGGATGCCGAGGAATTTCGGTGGTCTATGGGAGGGAGGTGTGCGAGCGAGAGAGTACGGTAGAGCGTGCCGAGTATCGGTGCTCTCGGTCGATCCAACGCGCTAGTGAGTTGCGTCACCCAGTTTATTGAC